TCACATGTGACAGGAAAAAAATAATGTTAAGCAACTAGATTTTGAACTTCGGGGCACTGGAAACATTTTTTTCACATTCTTATAAATACCAGGTTAATAAACTGAATTATCAGTGTTTTTGTGGCTTCTTTCACATTTTTGATGTTTTTGTCAGCTTATTCAAGTGAAATTAACTGTAGGGTATCTCTCTGGTTGTGGAGATTGGATATGTGAATGCCTTTGGGTTTTTAGGAGGTCATAACTAAGTCATTATTAGAGGAAGATAGGCATGCTGTATAATTACTTCTGATTTATTTCAAGTGAGTTTTATTTGTTGACATTGGAAGGTTACTTCAGCATCTTTATCAATGACTTGGATTTTTTTTCATGTCAGGAGCAACTTGAGAAAATGCAAGTCGCTTCTGGTGTGAGAAAATTGGCTGTCTGCAAGGACATTGCCCAGAGGACACCTGGATATTTGATCTTTTATCATCCTTGTGGGAGGCTTCTCTCATGTCCCTGCATGGGGAGTGGAGCTGACAGAGGGAGCTCAACCTGCTCTTCCCGGATTCGAACCACCAACCTATTGGCAGTCCTGCTGGCACAAGGGTTTAGCTTGGATGACAGAATAGAAGGCATGCTTATCAAATTTGCAAATGATACCAAACTGAGAGGAATAGCTAATACCACAGAAGACAGGATCAGAATTCAAATTTACCTTATCAGATTAGAGATTTGGACAAAACGAATTTCAAGAGGGAGAAGTTTATGGTACTGTGCTTTGGCAAAAAAATTGCATAGATATAAGATGGGTGACACCTGGCTTGAAAACAGTACATATGAAAATGGATTAATAGACAATTCTGAACATGAGCCAAAAGTGTGATGTGGCAGCTTAAAAAGCCAGAGTGATTCTAGGCAGCATCAACAATATTGTGATTCTAGGCAGCATCAACAGTATTGAGATCAAGGGAAGTCATAGTGCCACTCTATTTTGCTTTGGTCAGACCTAACCTGACCAAAGCAAAATAGATTATTACTGTGTCCAGTTCCAGGTACCACAACTCAAGAAGGATGTTGACAAGCTGAAACATGCCCAGAGAAAGACAATCAAAATGAAAACCAACTCCTTTGAAAAATGACTGAGGGAGTTGGGCATGCTTAGCTTGGAAGAAAGAAGTTTGAGAGGGACATGATAACTATGTTCAAATATTTGAAGAAATGTCACATTGAGGAGGGAGCCAGGTTTTTGCTACCGTGGAAACTAGGATATGGAGCAATATATTAAAATTGCAGGAAAAAGATTTCACCTAAACATTAGGAAGAACCTTCTGATAGTAAGAACTGTTTTGCTCTGAAGTATGATGCCTCCTCAGAGCATAGTGGAGTCTTCTTCTCTGGAGGTTTTAAGCAGAATCTGGATGGCCATCTGCCGGGGGTGCTTTGATTCTGTATTCCTGCATGGCAGGGGTTGGATTGGATGGCCCTTGTGGTCTCTTTCATAATTGTATTCTATACTTCATTTCAACAATATATATTTAATCCTCCACATTCATTGGGATTAAGGCCAAGATTGGTGTTATCTGTAGGAATCTATAGGCCCTCTCATGAAACCCTATTAATCAAATCTGCAAATAACCAAGCCTGCAAAAGTTATACCCACCAAAGTAGGGGGCTGACTTTACTCATATTGTCCTCAAGACCAGAACAATATGTTATGCATATGAAGCAGTAATATGTTGAAACAATTCTGTGAACTGCTTTACCATCAGTAGCAGAGACTAATGATACGAGAGGACATAACATAAGAAGTGTCATGATGAATTAGACCAACCTATAGGTCCCCAGATGCTTTGGCCTTCAACTCCCAGAAATCCTAACAGCTGGTAAACTGGCTGGGATTTCTGGGAGTTGTAGGCCAAAACACCTGGGGGCCCACAGGTTGAGAACCACTGAACTACACCAAGACCTATGTGGTTCAATAGTCTTTTACATGGTGACCAATTCAGAAGGAGGTAAGGAGCACAGTAGCAATCTACTACTCTGAACAATCAGAATTTGTAGGAACACAGCCTCTCATACAGGAGCTAATACATAGCCTTCATTGGTAACACAGCCCAACTACAAGATTTTCTTGCATTTTGGTTTTTAGGTCTGTAAATTGGGTTATTTGAGGTGCGGATTTAGAAAATTATATTGGATAGACCACACCAGCTCTAGTTTCTTACATATGGTTAGTATGATTTTTTTATGGGCAAAAAAAAAAAAAGATGAAGACTATGTTCTGTATCTCATAAACTGGAGCAAATGTCATTTTTGGAATCAGCAGGTTAAATATACCCAGGTACAGATCTAACATTTGAGGCACCAAATGCATGTTGGGCAGTGTAATCCTTTTTTCTGTAAAATTGTCAAATGTGCTTTTAAAAAGAAACATTGCAAAATGATTGTGTTGTATGATGTGATGAGTGTTCCCACTTATCATGGAGGAGAAGGAAGAACTTAACAAGGGGATGATATTTCCATTAGTATACTATGCGAGATACAATATGAAACTAAGGATTTAAAGAGCTATTTTGCAGGAACTGGCCATGGTACTGAAATGTAAATTGTGAACCATTTTAAAACAGTTTTCTGTACCGAGTAGCATATTACTATGTTAAATAAGATACTTTTCAATTCTTAATCTTAAAAACTTTCTTTAGCTTCTTAGTGTTCAGACACAGAAGAATTTATGAAGATATGAGAATGCCCTCACCTTCCGTGGTGAAATTCACAGACAAGGCCTTTGTATTCACAGCACCTTCTTTTTGGATTTGACCTTTCGCTTTTCCAACCTTCTTTTAAGTCACTTGAACCCATAGACCTAGCCACCCTCCTTGCTTATGGTCATTCTCAGATGAACATATCATGGGGGTTTCTTGGCAAAATGTGTCCTTGTTTTCTACTGAAACTGTGAGAGTGTGACTTGTCCAAGGTCAGTTAGTGTTGACAGTAGTGGTCTAGCTGGACCAATGATTCAGTATAAAGTGTCTTTTTTGTTTTCTAAGGAATGAGTTTAAATGTGGCTTCTGCACATTAGAAAGGTAGTAGTTATTTATTCCTTTGTATCTCAACTTTTTCCCAAATTGGGACTCAAGAAAGCTTCTGAAATCCAAAACAAATACAAGCAAAAGCACATATAGACACATGTCAAAAGCTTTTTCATAGAATGATAAAACTGGAAGAGACCACAAGGACCATCCAGTTCAACTCTTTACTGTGCAAGAAAGGCAATTGAAAGGCAATCGAAAATATCCATAAAAGTCAGATCATTATAAAGTATCCAATTAAAAGGTAGTAACCATTAGGGGAACAGGACAACCACTTAAAAGTCAATTAGAATAGAAAAGTTTTGACCCTTCAGCAGAGGAATATTTATTTATTTATTTACAACATTTATATTCCGCCCTTCTCACCCCGCAGAGGACTCAGGGCGGATTATAGTGTACACATATATGGCAAACATTCAATGCTAATTTTAACATACAACATATACAGACATACACAGAGGCTATTTAACTTTTTCTGGCCGCCAGGGGAGCTGTCGCTTTCATCGTCCATCTGCGACACTGATGAAGTACTTCCGCATTCCCTGCATGCTTTTTTGCTGGAGTGCTTTGCTGGAGTCTTTTTTATGGCCTCATAAATTAGTTAATTTAGCCTCCCCACACTTTAAGGTGGTACCTAATTTTCCTACTTGACAGATGCAACTGGTTCTGGTTGCAAAGGTCGACAACAGGCTACACAATTTTAAGACAGGGCTGTCAAAGCTTCTGTAGGAAGCAGGCCTCAATGTTTGGGAACAGCCACTGAGAAAACCCTTAAAACAGTGGTTCTCAACCTGCAGGTCCCCAGATGTTTTGGCCTACAACTCCCAGAAATTTCAGCCAGTTTACCAGCTGTTAGGATTTCTAGGAGTTGAAGGCCAAAACATCTGGGGACCCACAGGTTGGAAACCACTGCCTTAAAACAACCACTCATGTGTTCCTGCAATGTGCACCTGTGAAGGTGGGAAGATAAAGAGAAAAGTCTCATGTAGAATAATATGGCTTGAAACCTAACAAATAAAGGACATTTTAGTCATAATCAATACTGTGTGAATTGTTCCTAACAACAGAGTGATGCAGCTGTTGCAACAAAGGAGTTGTGATCCTTGTAACCTGTCGCAGTCAAACTATTAAATGAATTAAGGAACTAACACTAATTAACCAAAGTACTATATTTCTTAGTATCAAAGTCCCCTGAATATTTCAGAAAATAAAAATCAGAAAAATCATAAGCATCCAATAATAGGCCATTGAAAACAATTTGAACAGCTACAGTGTAATGGCAGAGTAAATTGAGGGCCCTTCCACACAGCCCTATATCCCAGAATATCAAGGCAGAAAATCCCACAATATCTCCTTTGAACTGTGTTATCTGAGTCCACACTATCATGTATTCCAGTTCAAAGCAGAAAATGTTGGCCTTTATTTAGCTGTGTGGAAGGGGCCCCAGGAGCAGTAGAAAATTTCAAAAGCTTTCACTAAAAATACACCTTAAAAGCTGTAGATTAGAAAGTGGAGGAAGATAAAATGTTTTTCTTCTTGTGGCAGTCTTGCTTCCCTCCTCAGTCAAACATGTGCTACGGATGTCCTGCCTTCCCCTGGGCATAGTTCAATATGAGGCTCATAGCAATGTCTTTCTCTAATGTTTCATTGACTGTGATTTCTGGGAGATGACAGTTTTGGAGAGAGTTTGAGATAGGTAGGAAAGCAGGAGATATAATAGCCCAAGAGAAGGGGGAATAAATTGGCATGAACTGCAGAAGAGTTGAAGACTCAGGTTCGCATCGTATTGATTTTAAATAAATCTCGAGTTCTTTGGCTCCAGCTCCCCTGTTTAATGTAACATTAAGCTTTGTGGTCCAGGGTTTTTTTTTTGTTTTTTTTACAATTTCATTTTAAACGAAGTTTTTTTTTGTTTCCAAAAATTCACAGCACAGCCAAGTACAGTGTGGTGACATTTCTACCTCGATTCTTGTATGAACAGATCAGAAAAGCTGCAAATGCTTTCTTCCTCTTCATTGCCTTACTGCAGGTATGTCTCTGATGGTAAATTATAATGGCCACATACTGTTTAATGTAGTGATGACAAGAGGACAATCTTGCAGTGCATATTGTTATAGCTGTGCTAAAGCTGCAGACGTGTGGGAGTCATCATAGAACTTTATACTAGATGTTCTGAAGAATCCATGGAAGTGATTCATCCGTGCATTCATTTGAAACATAATCAGGGCTCAAGCCGGTACTGGCAAGCTGAATGAAATATATAGAATAGACTTTTCCAAGCCAAAGTCTCCCTGATGGGTTTGCTACTATCCCCTAACACAACATAACATGATCTCAAAAGGACACAAAACATCAATGAAACACAGGGGAATATAGTCAAACCAATAAAGAATTGAATGTAAATACGATGATACTATGAAATAATTGTGCACAAAATAAGAGACCTCTTAAGCTAAAATAATCAAAACAAAGTAACTACAGCACAGCAAGCTATTGCACCATCCCTCCAAACATAATGTGTCCACTCTTAAAAAGGCATCATAAAGTTAATTTAAAGTAAATATAAGGAACAAAGTCTAGAATCCAAAAGAAAATTATCAGATCTTCAAACTTTGTTTTTTTAAATCAGTGTGCCACGGCGTTAGACAAGTGCTACTAAAACCCTGTGCTTATAATAGTGAGGAGATAAATAAACTTTACTAAATGGCTGTAAAGCTTTCCAGACATGAAATGAGATGTAGAGCAAACTATTATGATGGGCAAGGTGATGGGTGTTGTAGTCCAACAGATTTGGAGACTTTTAGCTAATGAACAACTGACAGAAACAAGATCAATTGTTAAAATTTCCTATATATTGTTATGTGAAGTAGCATTGGTGCTGGACTAGAAAGGAGTACAACTCCATATTTTTTTTATTTATTGATTGGGCTTGGCCCCATGTAATCCACCCTGAGTCCCTTCGGAGAGATGGAGGCAGCATACAAAAATAAAGTTATTATTGTTTTGTTTTTGTAGTAGTAGTAGTTATCTTTATTTACTTCATTTTTACCCCATCTTTCTCACCCAAGGGGACTCAAGGCTGCTTACAGCTCCGGCAAGAATTCAGTGCTAGTAAAACCCAACAATAAACAGTAAAAACATATCCCATAGTTAAAATGATAGTTCAATTCATCCAATAACCTTGCTCAAATCCTTAATTCAGACCATGTCAAAATCCATAGTAACTTATTCTTCGAACACTTGTATGCAAAGCCAAGTCTTTAGCTTTTTTTCTGAAAGCCAGAAGTGATGGAGCCTGCCTGATGTCACTGACGAGGGAGTTTCACAGCTGAGGAACCACCACTGAGAAGGCCTTGTCTCTCGTCCCCACAAATTGCACCTGTAAAGGAGGTGGGACCAAGATGATCTTAAAGTTCTAGTAGGCTAGTTGGGCCAGAACTGTTTAAGGCTTTATAGGCCAAGACCAGCACTTTAAATTGGGCTTGGTAGCATATTGAGAGCCAGTGAGCCAATGCAACAGAGGAGTTCTTTGTGCTCCCTGTACGCCACTCCAGTTAGAAGTCTGGAGTAGTTGAAGCTTCCAGGCTGTCTTCAAAGGCAACCCCACATAGAGTGCAGATGTAACAAGAGCATGGGCTACCATGGGCAGGTCTGAGTTCCCAAGGTACGGGTGCAATTAGCACACAAGGCAAAAAATATATCTAGACCCAAATGTAGTGTGACCTTTATTCAAATCTGAAGAAGGGCTCCTGTGTTGGTCAGGAAAAGCCTAGTTGTTCAAAAGAAGCATTAGTGCTTGCCAACCGCAGGGACCAACATTGCAGTCTCCTCTTCCTTTCTGTGCCAAACAGCCCTTTCTAACTGCAAGTCCCATATTATTTCCCATCACCTCCAGCCATTAGCAGGGTTGATTGGGTTTGATAGGAAAGTCGGAAACTGTCTGGTTCAAAAAGATTCTTGTAGAAAGAGGTCTGAAGCCTGAGTACACATAATCCTAGCCAACACTGGAGAAGCATGGGAAAGGATAGTTTGTTTAAGCCTTGCATCACTCTGTAATTCTCTGCACCGTATCATCTTTCTGTGTCCTATTCTTTTTGGTTTTGGAACCAGAACGGGGAAAAGTTACAGAAAGGAACAAAATTTGGATTGAAGAAATATCAAGGAGAAAAATATCAAGCACGCACACTGTGTCACATTTCACTCTTAATTCTCACTTCCCAAAACTGTTCTTTCTTCAACACATAGTTTAGGGCATTTGTGTACATCTATAATTCCCAGTATGTTCATGGTACAAGAATCACATTGACCATAATTATGTTTGGTAACATGTTAGAAAACGCTCTCCCTTATTTTTTCAGCAAATTCCAGATGTCTCTCCAACTGGAAGATATACCACCTTGGTGCCATTGATATTCATTCTCACAGTTGCTGGCATTAAGGAAATTATAGAAGACTATGTAAGTACTGTATATCTTTGATATGTTCAGGAAACCGGCCAACAATCTTTTTCTGACCCTTCTACTTTGTTAACCTTAATGCTAAACCATATGCTATATACAAACTGTAAGCTAGAATCTTGCTGGTACACTGCTACCTGCTGTTACAGTGACAACAGGAGGGAGATTGTTAGTGCCATGTAAACTCAATGAATACAGTTCAGTCTTAGAACTTGTCCAACTATTTGCACAGGCCCAAAGTTGTGGCTTGCTCTGGATACTGGGGGAGAATTCAGAGCAACCTGTAATTTTGCTTGATGTGGTTCAAAGCCACATTAATAAACTTTTGCTTGAATTGACCAAGTGTGCCATTTAGCTGCCATGAAGATTATTTGCCCCACTTTCGGGATAATGAACCAGTGTAGATATGCCACAAGTATTTGATGGTGCTTCACTGCTCAGTATATCTTCTCAGGGGTTAAGGGCTTGATAACGTCTCCCCTGATGTAATGAACTCTGGAGATTGTGATCTGAAATAGCAACTTTATTATTTCTATGTTTATTTTTTTCCAAATGTATATCCTACTTTTCTCCCATATGGAATCTAACATGGCTTATACTAGGGGTCCTCAAACTAAGGCCCGGGGGCTGGATACAAGGTCATTTATCCGGCCCTCACTCATGGTCAACCTAAGTCTGAAACGACTTGAAAGCACACAAGAACACCAACAATAATCCGATCTCATCAACCAAAAGCAGGCCCACACTTCCCATTGAAATACTAATAAGTTTATATTTGTTAAAATTGTTCTTCATATTAATTACTGTATTGTTTTAAAGTGGTTTTTTTGCACTACAGATAAGATATGTGCATAGGAATTCATTCATTTTTTTTTCAAATTATAATCCAGCCCTCCAACAGTTTGAGGGACTGTGACCTGACCCTCTGTTTAAAAAGTTTGAGGACCCCTGGCTTATACCATACTTTGTTTTATTTGAGCTGCTTATACTGTATCATAGCCTCCTTTTAGAGATCCCCTGAGTTTAGGGAAAGAGTTTGTGAGTGGCTGTTGTTTTTGAAAGTAGGGTTTTTAAAGTTCTGCTGTATGTGGGAAAGCTCCCCTGTACCCCTTAAGATCCTGACCTCATTTATTCAGTATTTCTTGGCAGGCAAAGCATTTTTTCTTTATCTTTAGACAGACCCTAAATTCTCTCCTTTTTAAAAAAAATGAACGCTAATGAATTTGTGCCACTAAAATAAAACAACCTTTCAGAAGCTCGCAGGAAGGGCTCCATTCTGTCTGTGCATATTTGGAGTTACTGGCACAACAGTTTCTGTTTTTGTTTTGTACCTGCAGTGCCTGGCCAAAGAAATGAAGAGTGCATTAAATGTCACCCCAAGCCATTCCCTCAATTAAAGATATTGTAGATTGAAGAGTTAAACTGGGAAATGTTTGCATGCTATAGATTTTGACCAGAAATGGCCCACAACGTCTCAGTAGATATGAGAAATGGACTTCAAAATGTTACCTATTGAAGCACTGCCTCTTCGCCTCAGCTCCAATCTGTAAAATAGAAATATTATTCACTTGTCATAGATAAATTAAAATAAGTACATATAAATGGAGTGAGGACTTTAAATCACTGTGCAATAGGCTCAGATTCTGTTAAGTAGCATAAGCCTGCAGATTGCAATGGTTTCGGCATAGAGAAAAGCAAAGGTGTACCTGGTCTGAACAAATCTTGCCAAGAAAACCCCATGATAGATTCACCTTAGGGTTGCTAGAAATTGGAAATGAAGGCACACCACCAATACAAAAACATAACTCAGCAGGATTTTGAGCAAACTAAGATGACCAGACTGGTTGGAGGACAACCCAATTGCAACTTTGTATACTTTCAGGGGTGTCACAGACTGTTGAACAACTTGGGAGAATGTGTAGTTGAGACCCCACGCAAGCCATTAAAAACTCTGATTTAGTTGTGGCTGATAGGAGAGATAATACCAAGAGCGATCCTTTTTGGGAGGCAGAAAAATACGCTTTATTTTCAGCTGAGACCCTGGTATGGAATCTCCTCCAAAAGCAAACCAGGGTGAGGATAAAGGCATTGACTTTCCCTTTTATACATTTTCAAATGCAAGCAAATAAAGAATCACACTTCTACATATGTAACGTAATCACTATGTCACCTTAAGCATCATAGAAATATCAAATTCTATCTTTCTGCATGCAAGAGGAATGTTTCCATATTTTTCTAAAGAGTATCTTACATCAAGATGCTAGGATTCAGCTTACACAAATCCACCACGTGGCCTACTTTTGACCTATCAGGAGGGAGGGGGAGAGACTCCTTACTTTTTACTTCTATCTGTTGGTGCTAGGCCATTCTTATCTCCCCCTCCTGGAATGTTCACCTCCCTCTTGCCTGTGCCTTGAACACAGATCCTTCATCATCCCTTTGTCCTGCCAGCTTGGTTTTTCTTGTATTTTTCTACATTTCAGTTTTTTCTACATTTCAGTACTTCTAATGTATATACAATATATGTATAAATATCTATATTTCCAGTATCTCCACATCAATTTTATATGTAACCTGTTGGAAAGTATATGCTACGAACAGAATTCTGGCTTAAAATGAGCAGAACACATTAATCATCATCATCATCATCATCATCATCATCACTCTCACTATCATCATAATCACCATCACCCTTATTAATATTCTGCCTTTCCCCCAATATAGCATCTTAAAGCAGCTTACAAATGAAAGCGATTATAGTATAGTTAACAACATACAAAAAGTCAATATTAGAACAGCATTAAACTTGGTTGTGTTTTAGTACTTAATTGTCAATATTTTAATGTATTGTATAATCTTTTTGGTTCACTTAATGTTAATTGTCTGTACTGCGATTCTTTGTTTGTTGGCATCTAACGATTGCCAGTTGTAAGCTGCCCTGAGTCCCCCTTCGGGGGTTGAGAAGGACAGGATAAAAATGGTCGAAATAAATAAATAAATAAATAAATAAACAAATAAATAAATAAACTGTTAATCATATTCAGCAATTGAAAATACTGGGTTGTTGTAGGTTTTTTCGGGCTGTATGGCCATGGTCTAGAGGCATGGCCAGACAGCCCGAAAAAACCTACAACAACCCTGTGATTCCGGCCATGAAAGCCTTTGACAATAAATTGAAAATACGTTTAGGAAGGCTATACAAAGCTGTTGAAATAGTACATATTAAAACAATACACGAGCCTTTTACTAGTCATTTCTTCAAAAGCTTTCATTTCTAAAAACTTATCAGGATTAAAAAAAATCTTGCTGTTGGAAGGACAATAAGGAGAGGACTATTCAAGCCTCTCTATAATGTTACTATATTCTGCATAGTGCTGTTAACATGGTGGCTTGTGTTTGAAGCGGAGGGGTGTGTGTGTGAGGTGGGGTGGGATATATACAGTGAGTTCCTTTCTACAACTTCTGCCATTTTGTAGCTCAGTGGGTATTAAACCTGCATGTTAATAATCTATAATGGAGGAATAAAAATAGTGACTTACCGTAGTGTTTTAAGATTGACTAAGGACGCATCTATACCAGTGGTTCCCAACTTGTAGTCCATGGACCACCAGTGGTCCGCAAGAATGAAAATATGGTCCATGGCCTCACCATTGCTACACCGTTGCCTAGAAACCATGTGGCAATGAGAGCGACTGGTCTCGCAAAACCCCCTTATAGTGCTGAGGCAACAGGGAAGTCGGGAGGGGAGAGGCTGACTACCCATTAAAGATTACAACTACCATATCAGCTCTAGATTATTAAATATGGTTTTCTGTGGGCAAGCAGATTGTGACTATTGGATGGCATATGTTCTGTATCAGAAACTACAGCTGATGCGGTCAATCCAATGCAATTTTCTGAATCATCACCCCAAATCTAAAGTTGACCCAAAATACGTAACCCTTTTGGTACTAATGTTGGAGAGTGGTCCCTGGTCAAAGTGGTTCCTGTTCAAGTGGCCCCTGGTCAAAAAAAGTTTGGGAACCACTGATATATATTGTAGAATTATTGTTATTTGACCCTTAAAACACCATAGAAATGCATTCCAGGCTTTCTTCTTTTGCTGTAGCATTTCAACAGGCACGATCATTTTTCACAATGCTTTTCCCTTCCCAACTCAAGTCAAAATAAATGTTTCTACTGTGATTTCTCAAACAGAAAAGACACAAGGCTGACAGCACAGTGAACAAAAAGAAAACAATAGGTAAGATTTTCTTTTAACTTCTTTGAAACCAAATGAGGAATTGGAAAAATACCAGCTTGCCTCGAAAATGAATGCTTTCAGTTTTAGTAGTTTGTGATTGATCAATAATACATTCCACTAATTTGGTTCCCAAAAGATAATTTGAAGTGTGCATGATTTTTTAAAATGCCACTTGATGGTATTTATCAATCATTGGAGATTTTACCTTTTACCTAATAATTATAAACTTTGCTGATATAAAGTATATAAAGTCCTCCTGGTCAGTTGCAAGGCCAGGTGGGGTATAGTGACTTAACACAGGTCATCAGTCTGGGGGTCCTCCTGGACTCGTTGTTGATGCTTTGAAGATCAGGTGTTAGTGGTGGCTGGGAGGTCCTTTGCACAGTTAAAATTTGTGCACCAGCTGTGTCTGTACCTCAAAAAGCCTGATTTGGCCACAGTGGTCCATGCCTTAGTTACATCCAGAATGGATGGACTACTGTACTCTATGCACTCTTTGTGGAACTGCCTTTGAAGACAGTTTGGAAGTTAGTGCAAAGGTCGGCTGCAGCTTCCAAACTGTCTTCAAAGGCAGTTCCACAAAGAGTGCATAGAGTACAGTAGTCCATCCATTCTGGATGTAACTAAGGCATGGGCCACTATCATGTCTATGTGATATTGTTTTATATGTAATCTAACTGGGGCTAGCCATAGGGAGCATACCATGCCCCTACTAAATCAGCTCTACTAGCTTCTGACAAGTTTTTGGGTTTAATTCAAGGTGCAGGTTATCACCAATAAAGCCCTATACGCTTCAGGTCCTACCTATCTTCGCGATCACATCTCAAAACCTGGTGCAGGCTTTGAGACAATCCCACAATTGTCTCAAGTGTGGTTGGTGGGAATGAGAGAGAGGGCTTTTTCTGTGATGGCTTCCCAGCTCTGGAATATCCTCCCAAAAGAGATTAGGTTAGCCCCCACCCTTGAATCTTTCCAATCCAGCCTAAAAACATAGATTTTGAAGCAGGTTTTTTGCCTCAAGTAGGCTGAAATGGTCCCATATGAGGTTGACACTCTACCATTTTAGTTGTGAATTAATGGCAGCTAGTTTTATTTACAAATGGTTTGCATTTTAAAATTGTGCTATTTTATATTATATGTGTTGATAGTGATTATTTGATCATGTCGATGTGATATTGTTTTATACTCATGTACTATTTATGTTATATGCTGCACCTTAGAGTGCCTTTGTAAGCTGCCCCGAGTCCCCTTGGGGAGATGGTGGCAGGATATAAATAGAGTGTATTGTGATTATTATTTTATTTATTTACCGCAGTTGGAGGCCCTTCTCTCCATCCCGCCTGCTTCACAGGTGCGGCTGGCGGGAACGAGGGATAGGGCCTTTTCTGTGGTGGCCCCACGGCTTTGGAATGCCCTCCCTATAGAGATAAGATCAGCCTCCTCGCTGATGGCATTTTGAAAAAAACTGAAAACATGGATGTTTGAGCAAGCATTCGGCTAATCCGATGCGATGAAGTTTTGATCAAGGACTGGTAATTACAGACAACGAAATTGGATTATGATTTAAGTTAAGAGATGCATTGGTCTGTATTGGTGGCCCAATACTGTGTATTGTATATGTATGTGTTTTATATTTTTATCAGAATATTGTTGTTTTTAATATTGTAAACCGCAATGAGTCGCCGTTTTAGGCTGAGATATTAGCGGTATACAAGTGTACTAAATAAATAAATAAATAAATAAATTGTATACCGCCTTTCTCAGCCAGAGGCGACTCACAGTTGGTTCACAGTTGGCAGCGTTTCGATGCCATAACAATTATAAAAATACAGTTAAAACAATTAGAAAAACAGTTAAAACATTTAAAATGTGATATAAAAACAATACAGCCTGTAAAAACAAATTATTATTAAGAAGATCAGTAATCTACATTACACACACTTCCAGATGGCCTTTGTGAGTACTTGGCACATCTCCTTTCACTCTTTTGAATTTAGGTTCTTTTGTTTTAGTTGTTGTATTGTCATGGGCAATGGCTGATTCTGTTGTAAAGAAATGAAAATGAAAAATGGTTTCCTGCAGTGGAAAGATTAAAGCTCTTTGCTTGACACAGTGCTATTGCCTCTATTCAAGCAGGTTCAAGGAGGCATCAGCTAGGTTGGCGCTATCAAAGGCAAGGAGGTCACATTGCTTGCCTGGATTATAATCACCATGTTTAATTACATGGAATCACACATACTTACTTTGGCTTCTTTGGTTTGTTTGGATCATTTTATCCAAATGATTTTTTTCATAGGCATTCAGTAAAACTGTTCACTTTGAAGAAAGCATTTAAAAAGTGCTTCTCTTTATTTACTCCTCCCACAGTGTTAAGAAATGGCATGTGGCAGAACATTATGTGGAAAGAGGTAAGAAGTATTTTTAGTTGTTTTTGAAAGTAGTTACTATTTTTGAGTGTCATCAAGAATGGGAACTGCATTTAAATGTGTTTATTTGAAAAAACTTTAGTGTGTCCCTGGGGTGTATATGGTTTCTCACAATCTTCTGTCTTGACAATAAATGGGTAGTACTGAAAATGTGCATTAATGTGGTTAATTCCTTTTTTGAGACCACTTTAATAGCTATGTCTCCATTCTGTGGGATTCTGTGATATGTAGTTTGTGGAGGTTATTAGAAATCTAAGCTAGAGAGCTGGAGTGTGCAATTTGGAGTGTCGAGTATTGGTGTCTAGCAGAGGAATACCAGTATGTCAGAAAAGTACACATCACAGGATTTTGTAAGATTGAACTATGACTATTAATGGGCTGTCAATGCACTGTACATGACATCCTCCACTTTTGCAAGAGTTAGGGGCACAGGACTCCCATAAAAGTGGAAAACTGCTAATAAAAACACTATTTTTAGCCAAGGGAACACCTCCCTAGGTCCTCCAGTATGATCCTATGGCCATTTTTACCAATGCAATTGGCTGGCCAACTTGCTTCTTATTATCCAATTATTTGACTTCAGACAGTTGTTTCTGCTTCAGTAGCAGCTCTTATCTTTATTTACATTTCATTCATTGCAATAACACTTACTCCTTAGCAAGGGAGAAGAGCAAAGAGAAAGAACAAATGGTTTCTGCTATATTTATATCCCACTGTTATCTTTATTCATATCATGATCTGATCACCATGCTCAATATATCCCATATGCATGGGGGTATTGGGGTAATGATACAAAAGGTTTGCTAGGGTAGATCCTCTTTCACTCAGACTCAGCCCCCCCCCCCCCATCACCGCCCCCCCCCCCCCCCGAATCAAAATCCTAGTTACGGTACTGGTTATCAGCCCATTGAGTCCGTGTCCAGCCTCCTAGACTATTGTAACATTTTCCTTGTCTGTTCCACGCCTGCTTCATAATGCTCCACAACTTAACTCTTTCACAGCCAGCAGCATGGAGATTTTAAACTTGTACAATATATATTGACATTACACTGATAAATTTTGGCAGAAGTGAACATAGAATTACATTGGTGCAGCTCTTCTTAAACTGTCCTGACTCCAAATGAGGCCCCCATATTTCAATATTGGGGTATCAAAATTTAGCAAAAGTAAACATTTTGTGAATGCCACCCAGTGACTGTTTTAGACATTTACACAAATCCGTTGTGCAGTGTTTGCAATGGACTTTGCAGAAGATGGTTTTGCTGTACTTTATAAAAAGGAAAATCAGCCTGTTTAGCAAGCCTTGCAAATATGGATTTGTTATCAGTACATGTTTGATTTTATACCTATTTTATGTAGCTGTATACTTGGGGTCCCAAAAACATTTCTTGGGCCAAAAGTGGTTGCAATTGGAAAAATTTTAAGAAGTCCTGCACCTAGAGGTTCCTAAAAAGACTATATTAATCAAATCCACAAACAATCAATCCTCCAAAGTTAAATCCACAATTGTGGAAAGCCAACTGTAATTGTGTAGTGTGGATATACCCCTTGTCCATGGAAGTGACAAAGGCCCCTTCCACACAGCTGAATAAAATTCCGTATTATCTGCTTTAAAATGGAATATATGGCAGTGTGGACTCAGATAATCCAATTGAAAGCAGATATTGTGGGATTTTCTGCCTCGATATTCTAGGTTATAGAGCTATGTAGAAGGGCCCAAAAAGGTTCAAAAAAGCTCTGGTATATTCTCAAGCAGAAATTAGAAATGCTACATTTTTTGAACAATAACCCATATAACATTTCTAAACTATGTTCTCAAGCACATTCAGAGTCCTGTATGGCAAAGGTGGAGAGCTTGTGTACCTTTAAATGTGGTTGGACTTCAATTTCCATCAGTCTTAGCCTATTATAAAAGGTGCTGAGAGATGTCATGAAGGAACATAGGAGGAACACTACTTGTCCACCTCTGTGGTATATCAGTAGTGAAGTTAATATCTGAGAGCTGGTTATACAGACACAACATCATGTTTAGCATACAACCAGGAAAGTATTTTCTGGCTTGACAAGGAAAACAAATACATGGCAACTGGAGAAGAGGAAAGGCACTCTGCACACAAATACACACATGTATGTACATGAGCATCCCCATATACAAAGTTGCAGCCTCCTCCCATTTCAGCAGTATCATTTAGAGGAGGTGTGGGGGAGTCCTCTTTTTCTGTTGTGACTGAACAGTTGGTTGTCAGAAATCCTTGTGATTTAACTACTGCAAATCATCCAAAGATCTCCCACTAGAACTGAGAGTATTTTTAACCTCGTGTTAATCGGCTCATAATGCATTTCTTCTGTCTTTGGAGGACTGCAGCTAGTACATCAATTCATGCAATCAAAGATACATAGAGTAACATTTGTGCAGCATATGCTGTTCAAATACGTAGTATAGGCATAGTACAAATAGTGTAAGTCAGTTGGAGGATGGATAAAACGATGCAGTGCTTTCATTCTGCTCTTGGCTTGCAGTAATAGATTGTTATTCTGTTCTGAAGTGCAGACTATATAAAATGGGAGATTATAGGGAACACATTTTGTTTGTGGCCTGGACAATTTGTAATCTCTTGTAAACATATTAGAAGGGGTTTGTCAAATCAAATAGTAAATGAAGGTGAATAAAAAGTCACCATGCTTCAGAGAGCTTACTTTTCTGAAGAAACACCCCCAAAGGAAATGGAATTTGCAAGTGTAAAGACCTCCTGATGCATCTTTATCAGATAAGGTTGTTTGACAACCAAGTCTGATTCAAGAGTGTGATATGACCATTCAAGTTGCAATTCAGGATGCAATTGTCTGTCAAGTTAGACTTCTTAAATGCCATTGAGGCCTATTGGATCCAGTGTGCTATAGTCATCTGAATATTGGGTTATGACTGGAGACTAGGATGTGATTTCCTGCTCAGCAATGACTTTGGGTGACTTTGGGTGAGTTGCATACTTTCAGCCCCAGAATACCTTCCTTAGGATAGCCATAAGTTGGACAAAAACTTGAAGACACACAACTACATCAACACAGGATTGTAGCAGTGGTGGCTTGTGGGTTAAGCAGAAAGTGGCTACCTCATTCCAGTCTACTAGGGGCACCCCTGGTGAATCCACAAACTGCCTGTGGACTGCATCTTGGTTTTTGGACTGGTATAAGCATTCCCTGCAAATTACACAGTGAGGATAAATGTTTATACACTTGCAGGGATGGTGTTGCATGTTCTGTGAGCTGCTCCTAAATGTTGTGCCCTCCCAACTCCCAACATATATCAATTATTTGTTTATTCTTGTAGGAAAGTATAATTTTTACTGTATATTACAGATACAAACTTATATCTTTTTATGTTTGATTATTATTGAAATGTGGTAAGATTTTTTTTAAAAAAAGGATATCTAAAGTGTGTTAAAGTTAGTGTTTTCTTTAAAAAAGAAAATGGTATTTAAGAAGTGCCTAACAATTTTAACAACAACAACAGCAACAACAATAATAAGGTTGTTGTGAGTTTTCCAGGCTGTATTTTCTACCTGATCCAGATGCATTCTCTCCTAACCAGGCCAATAGCCAGGATTTTGATTCGGGGGGGGGGGGGTTGTTGGGGGGGGGGGAGGATCTACCCTAGCAAACCTTTTGTATCATTATCCCCAATACCCCCATGCAATGGAATATATTGAGCATGGTGATCAGATCATATATGAATAAAAACAACGGTTTAAATAATGTACCATTAAGGCCTTCTCACAGACCACCACTGAGAATTTCGGGGGGGGGGGTGAAGCCCCTCAAGCCCCCCCCCCCAGCTACATGCCTGCTCCTGACATTTCGCCTACATCTATGGCAGGCATCCTCAGAGGATGTGAGGGTTGCTGGAAACTAGGAAAATGGAGTTTATATATCTGTGGAACGTCTAGGGTGGGAGAAAGAACTCTTGTCTGCTTGAGACACATGCAGAGGCGGCCCTAGATAATTTTCAATGGTAAGCAAACAGTATTTTGCCCCCCACCCCCAACCAATCACTGATATATATTTTCTGTTTGTCATGGGAGTTCTGTGTGCCATATTTGGTTCAATTCCATCATTGGTGGAGTTCAGAATGCTCTTTGATTGTAGGTGAACTATACATCCCAGTAACTACAACTCGCATATGTCAAGGTCTATTTTCCCCAAGAGCGCCTCAAGAGCTCCCCTGGGCAAAATCAACTATACTGCAAATGCTTACTTTGCCTAATGGGTTGAGCCACCACTTGGCACATATGAATGTTTCAGTTGGCCACCTTGATTAGCATTTAATGGTCTAGCAGTTTCTAGGTCTTGCTTCTTACTCCTAGGGGGAATCTTTTGTTGGGAGGAGATTAGCTGGCCCTCGTTGTTTATTGTCTGGAATTCCTCTGTTTTCGAGTGTTGTTCTTTATTTACTGTTACTATTTTAGAATTTTTTAAAATACTGGTTTTGTTCATTTTCATCGTTTTCCCCCTCTTTCTGTTGAAATTGTCCACATGCTTGTGGATTTCAATGGCTTTACGAATCAAGGAACATGAAAGGCACTGCAGACTACTTCAACCAGAGAAGTCAGCCATAGCAGAGCACTTGATGAACCAACCTGGACACAGCATATTATTTGAGAACACAGGAATGCTGGACCACTCTCACAACCACCATGTCAGCTCTCACAACCACCATGTCAGGCTACACAGAGAAGCCATTGAAATCCACAAGCATGTGGACAATTTCAACAGAAAGGAAGAAACCATGAAAATGAACAAACTCTGGCTACCAGTATGCCTGCCATAGATGCAGGTGAAATGAGAATGCTTCTGGAACATGGCCATACAACCCGGAAAACTCACAACAACTGAGTGATTCTGGCTATGAAAGCCTTCAATAATAATAATAATAATAATAATAATAATAATAATAATAATGCTCCCAGTGTTACATTTTCCAATGTACATATGTATGTGCTGCCACAGCATGCTTGTAGCATAACACATGAATTCTATATTAGTTGTTGGTGACTTTGTATCATCATCATCATCATCATCATCATCATCAATGGTCTCTGGGGTAGTGGTGAACTACAGAGGGGGTAGAGCTAGGAAGAAGAAAGAATCAGTCATGCATTTCCCAATGCAAATTAGTCCATCTGTGTTGTCTTTTTCTCCCCATCTGTCTCTTTGAGCCCCTGCATGATGCCCTTTTCATTCTACCCTTGTTGTATACAATCCTTCCCTGCTTCATCATTTTGGAGTGTCCATGTCTTGATATATTTGTGTTTATGTTCAATGTATTACTTCCGCTCTGCTGTTTGGCAAGGAGCAAAGACCTGACACTCCTGCCATTGCAATAGAAAGATCACCCTGCCCAAGAATAGTCGTCGTCACACATCACTGTCTCCACATCTCCTCCTTGATAAATTAGCTGGTTAACAATAGATATGGGCTCTTGCTTTCTGTCTTTGTTCATTTTCTCTTTTTCCATGCTGTTGCTGCACTCCTGCCCCTGACTCAATAGGTGGCAGTGGGAGACATTGTGAAGGTCACCAATGGGCAGCACCTCCCAGCAGACATGATCATTTTGTCTACCAGGTCAGATATACTGGATGGGTGTGATGTGTGATGCCTCTGCTAAACTGAGGTTCAAAAACAACAAAAACTTCCAATAAGAATAAATTTTCTTAACATGGAACATTATACTTCTTCCGAGATCGGAAAACAATTGCCAGAAACCTTCAAGTGATTGTGTATTCATGAATAAGCAAAGGGTTGGATTGGGTGGCCCTTATGGTCCTTTCCAATTCTGTAATTCTAAGTCAGTATGAGTATTGCTATCTTTTCCAAGCTATGCTGCATGTCTCCACCTTTCCATGAATGCATTACATCAAAGATTTTAAGCATATATTGGAAAGATTTAGTGTTTTTCCTTTTGCAATGGTTCTTAACATTCTCCAGCCAAAAAGCTCTGCGGTTCAATATCAGGCGCACAAGTTTTATTCAAGGTCTGCTTCTACGTGTCAAGCAAACAAACAAAAAATGTGCTGTGTTACCATCTGTTCCCCAGCCCTGTAGACTGGAAGGAAAAGTACACCAGTGAATGGAGCTGCATCTGTTAACTGCCATGTATGCTGGAGTGCCATCTAACCTATTTTATGCTTGACATCTGGCAGGGATTTGTAAATTGGTATAGTTCGGATATTTTGGACTGCAACTCCCATAATCCCTGGCTATCCCAGTCTGTCTCACTGTGACTTGTGGCAGTTGCAGTCTGAAGTGTCTCAGTGAGATTTGCCACTGTTGGATGGCATCTTGCTGAAAAGATGCCATCAAACAGTGGACCACATTCTCTAATGTCAAAGACTTGATCCAAAGTAGGGATGAAAAGAGTGAAGCATGATGTCATATATATATATATATATATATATATATATATATATATATATATATATATACATACACACACACACACACGCACACACACACACACACATACATATATACGTAACCCACTGTCATTTTGTGAAGCTCAAAGTTACAGAAATTCACTCATCCAGGCACTAACCAGAACCAGAGCTGTTTAACTTTCAAAGAATATCACAGTTCAGGATCGTTTTTGTCAATACAATTTCTATCCCAGTTCACTGACACAGTTTATAATAACAATAACAATAACAATAATAGAGATTGACAGAGTTTGGAGCACAATACTCCTGACATCACGATCGTGTTAAAAAACAGAGTGTGGATCGTCAATACTGCAATCTCAGGCGACAGCAGGATTGAAGAGAAACAACTGGAAAAGCTGACACAATATGAGGATTTAAAGATCGAACTGCAAAGACTCTGGCACAAACCAGTAAAGATGGTCCCAGTGGTGATCGGCACACTGGGTGCAGTGCCTAAAGACCTTGACCTGCCTGCTTTACAACCATATCTGAATGGAAGAACTACTTTTGCTGAGAGGACAATGATCTCCTTTCCTAGAACTTTCCACGAAAGGCAGGAAATGAGCTGCATAAGTCATTTCATTTCTGCATTTTTTCCATACATCTGTTACTACCAAACTTTTGTTCTGAAAATTGATCCTATGCAGCTGTGTCACTGGTGTCATAGACTGAGGTGACATTATGGTAGAGAGTGGCCCTATATCCCTTATTATTTATGTCTGCATCAAGTCGCTTTTCATAACAGTACATGCATAATGTATCGCACAGATGTTGGTTTCTTTTATTAAAAAAAAAAGCCTCAGTTCACCAGAGTTTGCATGCTTGGAAGCTGGTGTGTGCCTTGATTTTGTAGGAAGTGTGTGTTACATTGGTTTTTTATCATGATTTTAATTATAAAAATACTCGAATCCATATGGTGGTATGACAAAAAAAATCACTGAATGCTTTTTAGCGGGGAAATCAATGCTTGAAAAAATTATTCTGGAGATTGGATGTCGGTTTATTTTTAATACCTTTGTTTTTCAGGCACCTTTCTTTTTAGAGGTTACCTTAAAGCGCAATGTGATTGATACATGGTATTTTTTAAATTATGCTTTTGCAGCGAACCTCAGGCAATGTGCTACATTGAAACATCTAATCTCGATGGGGAAACTAATCTTAAAATACGACAGGTAAAATTAAACTTGTTTCTTTCACTTTATGAAAGCCAATTAAATGACAGGAATAGCACAGGATGTGTTTACCATTAGTTGGGAGATGAGATTTGTAGCAGGATGAAGGCTTATTCTATTTTTTATTTGAGAAACTGCAAGTCGCTTCTGGTGTGAGAGAATTGGCCACCTGCAAGGACGTAGCCCAAAGGACACCCGGATGTTTTGCCATCCCGAGGGAGGCTTCTCTCATGTCCCCACATGGGGAACTGGAGCTGACAGATGGGAGCTCACCCCACCTCGTGGATTTGAGCTACCGACCTTCAGGTCGGCAGTTCAGCCGGCACAAGGGTTTGACCCATTGCACCACTGTGGCTCTATTAAAACAGCAGCCTTAAAGAGAGCCACTGTGGAATAGTAGTTTCAGAATTTGACTATGGCTTTGGAGGCCTGAGTTTAAATTCACGCTCAACTATGGAAACCCATTGGGTGATTTTGGGGAAGTTAAATGCTGTCAACCTAGGAAAGCAAAGGCATCTCACTTGTGAACAAATCTGGCCAAGAGAACACTTGTGAACAAATCTGGCCAAGAGAACACTGTGGTAGATTTGCTTTAGAATCTGCATGAAATGGAAACTACTTGGACATATAACAACACTTGAATGGCACTAGTTCAAGGATTGGCAAAGTGAAGCTCATAGGATCCAAATATTTCTCCAAGATGTAGTATTTGTCACCACAAACCCTTCACCATTTCCTCCCTTGCAAAACCAATGAACTGGATCTCCAGTACCCTATTATGTAGATCACTATTAGATCACCCCCGGTGGTTCAGCAGGTTAAACTGCTGAGCTGCTGAACTTGATGACCGAAAGGATGGCGGTTTGAATTCAGGGAGCAGGGTGAGCTCCTGCTGTTAGCACAAGCTTCTGCCAACCTAGTTTGAAAACATGCAAATGTAAGTAGATCACTACGTACCGCTTCAACAGGAAGGTAGCAGCACTCCATGCAGTCATGCTGGCTACATGACCTTGGAGATGTCTATGGATGACGCTGGCTTAGAAATGGAAATGAGCACCACCCTCCAGAGTCGGATACAACTAGACTTAATGTCAGGAGAAAACTTTACCTTTTTATTACGTCACGTGAGCTACTTAACACCAAGAAATATGTATTTTTCAAAGCTTGAAAGTCAATTTCAGTCCACTCCCCATTTTGGTGGATCCCTTTTCTCTGCATATGGGTGCCTTGGCCTGTCCAACCCAATGAGAGGTTCACACTTCCAAATTTCCTGGCACCGCTGCAATTGAAATTTGGTGGCAACTGCAGTGGTTTGCTATGCCTTAATAGGAGGCCAGAACATATTATAATGACCTACAGACTGGCAAGGCAGGTTGTCTCCTTCTATAATGGAAGAGGTCCATATTTGGTCTCTAGGTTGTTTATCGCTCACTTATGGAGCCCCCGGTGGTGCAGTGGGTTAAACCCCTGTGTCGGCAGGACTGAAGACCAACAGGTTGCAGGTTCGAATCCGGGGAGAGCGCAGATGAGCTCCCTCTATCGGCTCCAGCTCCTCATGCAGGGACACGAGAGAAGCCTCCCACAAGGATGATAAAACATCAAAAACATCTGAGCGTGCCCTGGGTAACGTCCTTGCAGACATCCAATTCTCTCACACCAGAAGCAACTTGCAGTTTCTCAAGTTGCTCCTGACACATCAAAAAAATTACTCACTTGTGGTTAATGGAAATTCCACTTTCTCAAATTTTCACTGAGCCACATGTTTCCTGTGGATTTGTGCATGGATATTTTCAACAACTTTTGCAGGATCTATCAGAAATTTGTGATTTTTTTTCCAGAGGAGGGCTTATCTATATAAATAAAAATGTAATGTTTGTTTGTGGGATTAACATAACTAAAAAACCACTGAAAAACACAATGGAAAAGACTTAAAAAGCCAAAAATAATAATTTAAAATATGCATGTACAAAACCACATATATACAAATATACACATATATACAAACACAAAACACATATACACAGACTGGGCCACAGCATCGTATGGCAGGGTACAGCTAGTATTTAAATAAAATGTAATGTTCGTTTGTGGGATTAACATAACTCAAAAACCACTGCACAAATTGATACCAAATTTGGACACAATACACCTATCCGTCCAACAAGTGACCATCACGCATAAAAACACTACTTAAAAAGCCAAAAAAGCAAACATTACATTACAACAGATGGGCAAAACCACATATACATTATATATATACGCAAACACACATATACACAAATTTATACACACACAAAACACATATACACAGACTGGGACAAAGCAACGCATGGCAGGGGATGGCTAGTTCTTATTATAAGTGGAGCAAGAGCGTCTTCTCTTCTCTTCTCCCTCTGCCTCTCAGATTAGTACACATACAAGTGTGTGTGCGCACGCACACACAGTTAGAAGGGGTAGCATAGCTGCAGTTCAACAGTTTAATAACTCTCCTTTTTACTGCAGTCAGTATATCCAGTGCTGCTAATAACAATAGACTTTGAAAGGTGTAAATCAGGCATGGCAAAATTTGGTCCTCTAGGTGTTTTGGACCTCAGCTCCCACAATTCTGAACAGATGGTAGGCTGTTAGGAATTGTGGGAGTTGAAGTCCAAAACACCTATAGGGCCAAAATTTTACCATGCCCGGTCTAAATCCATAAAGGGTATGGCAGCTGCTAGTCCCCAGACCAGTGGATCCACTCTGAGTTTTAGTCTCAATGTTAAAGGTGCTATCTGAAGTGATAAACCCTCTTCCCCAATACATTGTCTCTATGAAGTTCAGACTAAAACCCAAAGATCATTCGCTGTCTCACTGTCAGGGACCCAATAGACACCACTGAGTAAAGGGCAGGTAAAGTTATATCTTTACACCACTGATGCAATACAATCCTTGAAAATGTATTTGTTATGATGATCCTAATTATGATTTGGTTCATGACAGGGGTTGACTCAGACTGCAAGTCTGCAGTCGAGAGAAGAGTTGATGAAGATAACTGGGAAGATAGAGTGTGAAGGACCAAACCGTCATCTTTATGACTTCACTGGGAATTTGCGTATAGATGGCCAAAGGTATACATTTGCTACAGAAAAACCCAAAAAGTCTCCCTGGTTGGCTATTGGCCTTTTATTGTTCAATTTCTAATGTTGCCTTTATCTTATGTTTTCAATTTGCTGCCTCACATCCAAATTTGAGCAACAGAACAATGGCAAAAAATGCTATTAAAAAAAACAGGGTGCATAATGGATGCATATTTTGCTATGGTGACATGGAGGGATTTCCACTCCATGCCACCATAGCATAGGAGCAGATTAAACAGAAGCATCTGCAGAGGGTAGGATGGCAAAAACAGGTGGGCACCAAGTTGGCCACACTTGTGGCATTTGTGATGGAGGCTTGCATGTTCATGGGATGGAGGTAGGGTTCAGTATCTTGGATATCTCTTTTGAATGCTAAACTAAAACTCCAGAGTGGCTTCAGTGCCTATTGAAAGGAAAACAGCTACCCATCAGTACTCTCTGGATGAAACAACATCTAGAGCAGGCATGGGCAAACTTTGGCCCTCCAGGTGTTTTGGACTTCAACTCCCACAATTCCTAACAGCCGGTAGGCTGTTAGGAATTGTGGGAGTTGAAGTTCAAAACACCTGGAGGGCCAAAGTTTACCCATGCCTGACCTAAATTGATTTCATTGTATTAATTAGTAATTCAGTAGGAATTAAGTACTTCTTTTCTAGGCTTGATTATTCTCATTGTTTTAAATATATATACTGGAAGCATCTTTGTCCTGTATTTTGTTTGTAAATTGTGTTTTACCTTTTCCTGTTTTTCTCCCCTTTTTTCAGTCCAGTCCCAATTGGACCTGACCAGATTTTATTAAGAGGTGCACAGATAAGGAATACTCAATGGGTTTTAGGAGTAGTTGTCTACACAGGACATGATACAAAACTTATGCAGGTAAAGTTGCTCTTCATCTAAACTAATAGTTTTAGAGTAAAAGGTAACTGTTTCCTCTTGACATTAAGTCTAGTCATGTCCGACTCTGTGGGATGGTGCTAATCTCTGTTTCTAAGCCAAAAAGCTGGCGTTATCCAAGGTCATGTGGCCAGCATGACTGCATAGAGCGCCGTTACCTTCCTGCCGGAGCGGTACCTATTGAGTTGCATGTTTTCGAACTGCTAAGTTGGTAGAAGCTGAGGATAACAGTGGGAGCTCACCCTGCTCCCCGGATTCGAACTACTGACATTTCAGTCAGCAAGTTCAGCAGCTCAGCGGTTTAACCGGTTGCGGCACTGGGGGCTCCAGTTTTAATGTTAGTTTTCTTTTAAGCCAAGCATTTTTAGCCATATATGTGAGAATGAAAACAAAAGCTAGCTTTTCAACTGGACCAACTATAGTGTCTTTAATAAAAGTATGTTATGTATAGAATTAGCAGTTGAAACATTTCTCTACGTAACACACCTTTATTAGAATTTTTATCTCTTAATTGTTGCAGATCACGCCTCAATATTATTATGATATCTAGTTCCTTCCTTCATCCCATATATTTTGTATTATCATGCCTGGTGAAGAGTTCTGGAAGCACCTGAAAACACTCATCACTTGTGCATGACTTATTGGTCCTAACACAAACTATTGTATATCCCAGAGTTTTAATCAGATTATCATAGAACCATAGATCTGGATAGCAACTTGTAGGCTAATGAATTCAGAAAAGTAAAGTGAGAATATCTCTGATATTTTTATGACCCAGATTGAGAGCTCTCCGAATGATTCCATTTGTATGACTGCTTCTTTCTAGAATTCAACCAAAGCTCCCTTGAAAAGATCCAATGTGGAAAAAGTGACCAATATGCAGATCCTCATTTTGTTTTGCATCCTTCTTGTCATGGCTTTAGTGAGCTCTGTGGGTGCCTTACTGTGGAACAGAACACATGGAGATGACATTTGGTACTTTGGCTCAAATGGTAAGTAGAATATTGTGGGCATCTCTTCCATGGCACCAATAGGTAGGTGCATCTTGGGAAGTAAAAGGCCAAGAGAACTTTATGGCGCAGAGGAGATTAAATTATAGGTTAGCACAAAATGTTGACCTTGGGAGGCAAAAGGCCAAGAGAACTTGATGGCACAGAGGAGATTAAATTATAGGTTAGCACAAAATGTTGAAACCATCAAATAACCTGGGGATTGCTAGATGTTTGGACAATGACTGTTAGTCAACATAGCAAATGATTGGAGTTTTAATCCAATATGCCTGGAGAACACCAGGTATCTTTCTCACTACACAAATATTGCATTACGATTTCAATTTAACTGTCATGGTAACATATTGTTACCATACAAAATGCAGCTGCTCGGCTTCTTGTGGGAATTCCGATGAGATGCCACATAACACCAATCTTACTACAGCTGCATTGGTTACCAATTGAGCACCGGATCACTTTCAAAGTGATAGTACTCACCTTTAAGGCCTTGCATAGTCTGGGGCCGATGTATCTGAGGGACCACCTCACCCCCTACCAACCCCAGAGATCCCTCCGTTCTGAGGACCAAGATCTATTGGAAATTCCCAGTGTCAAGACCTTGCGTCTAACAGCAACCAGACGCAGAGCCTTTCACAGCAGTGGCACCATCACTCTGGAATACTCTGCCACCTGAAGTCCGTGCCTTGCGGGACTTACCAGCTTTCCGCAGGGCATGTAAGACATACCTGTTTCGACAGGCTTTTAATGTTTGATACTGCTGTTTTTAAATTGTTTTAAATTGCTTTTAAATTTTGTTAGATTTTAGCCATTCTTGTAAGCCGCTCCAAGCCCCAGGGGAGTGGCAGAATACAAGTTCAAATAATAAATAAATAAATAAATAAACAAACAAACAAATAAATAAATATTGTGGGAATCTGAAATTTGCAAATTAATGGGGGGCGTTTATAATTTTCATCTAGAAAGCTCTTGACCCCCAAGAAACTACAAACTCTACAACTCCATAAGAGGCACTTTGTCAGTTATAGTGAAATCATAATACTATAATTGTATAGTGTGAAAATAGCTTACATCAGGATTAATTGCTCTGTGGTCCCAGTACTGTGCTTATATACAATTTAGTCAGCCTTCTATCACCAGCTTCTCTTGGTCTTTCATCCTCCAAGAGGCAGCTGTAAATTGGAGCTGAACAAAAGCAGCTGCAGTTATTGTCTCAGCTGTTTTTACTGATCATATTGCAGTGTTATGTATGCAATGCATTGTGTCTGACATCCATTTGGTTCTGTTTATCTTTCCTTATCTGATTTAGTTGGAACCCTTATGCAAAAGTCTGAAGGGCCATAGATATTGCTTGTGAAAAACAGGCAACTACTTTGTACTGTATCTAAAGAAATGGGGTTTTATCAAGAAAGAACACATTGATTGGGTTGCTGTGAGTTTTCCAGGCTGTACGGCCATGTTTTAGAAGCATTCTCTTCTGATGCATCCTCAGAGGTTGTGAGGTTTGTTGGAAACTAGGCAGTGAGATTTATATATCTGTGAAATTTCCAGGGTGAGAGAAAGAACTCTGTGTCTGTTTGAGGCACATATGAATGTTGCAATTGGCCACCTCGATTAGCATGGAATATCCTTGCAGTTTCAAAGCCCCCAACCTCTCTATATAATCTTTGGATAGCATAAAAAAGGGTTAACACCTCTGTGGTGTTTGTTTAGGTGTCTGTCCCTGTAATAATGGGCTTTTGAAAAAAAATGGCTTCCCTGCTTTTACAACCCACGTACTTACCCAGTTTATAAAAAAAGGAGGAGAAGCAAACTGAGGGTACAATTGTATTGTATTTTAAAAAACACAAAGTTTTTAAAAACTTGCCATTATACTAAATATCCTTTGACTAGTAACTGGCCACTTGGAGTGGTGTCGCTATAAGCAAGTCCTCTATTGTGCATGTGGCACAGCTTAGACTGCATTGTAATAGATGGTCTGTGGTTTGCTTTTCTCCACACTCCCATGTCATGGACTCCACTTTGTGGCCTCCTTTCTTAAGGTTGGCTCTGCCTAGGCAGAAATTGACAAACATAAGTTAGAGGATCTTCAATAATTCTACAAAAAGGGGTAAATTCCTTTTCATTTCCAAAATTTGTTTTTCATTCACACATTGAAATGTATGCATTGATCTATTTTTCCTCCTAATTTGTGTATTTATTTTTTAATTTACTTAATGTATGGAACTGTATGGAACTGCTTTTAATTAACTGAAGCATTAACATRCACAAGCATGTGGACAATTTCAACAGAAAGGAGGAAACCATGAGGAAACMATGAASAAAATCTGGCAACCAGTATTTTAAAAACCCTCTAAAATCAGGACAGTAAATAAAGAGCATCACTCAGAAAATCRGRGGAATTCCAGWCAGAAAACAATCAGGGCCAGCTAACACMTCCCTGCAAAGGATTYCTCCCARGCAGGAAGCAGCCAGRCTTTGAAGCTACAAGGCYATTCAGTTSTAATCAAGCTGGYSAGTTGCAACATTYRCACTTGCCTCCRGMAGACAARAGTTCTTTCTCCCACCCTGGACATTCCACAGATWTATAAATCCCACTTTCCTAGYTTCCAACAGACCTCACAAACTCTGAGGATGCCTGCCATAGATGTGGGCAAAACACCAGGAGATAWTGCTTCTGGAACATGGCCATACAGCYCRGAATACTCAACAGCAAYCCAGTGATTCCAGTCATGAAAGCCTYYGASAACAAACTGAAGCATACATTGSATATCCCCCCCCCMCAATTGTATACATTCTAGCCATTTGTTTTTTTWAAATATTCATATTGTTTTGTGCACACTTTCYTTCTGTAACATATAGAAACCCTAACATATTGTGGATGCTGAAAGCAAAGTGTGCATTTTCTGGAAGCATAGTGTGAAAATATTACTTGGAGGCCATTGAGTTAAAAGAACTTTCTTTCCATCCCTGATTAAAGCTGTGTCCAGTGTATTCTCATTTGATGTTTGGTGAAATATTTCCAAGCGCCTGCTTCCCAAGTAACTCTTTTCTCTGCTTGTCTGTTTTGGCCCACAGAAATGCTGTCTGTCAATTTTGGATACAATCTGCTCACCTTCATCATCTTGTATAACAACCTCATTCCCATCAGTCTGTTGGTGACTCTGGAAGTCGTGAAGTTTACTCAGGCTCTTTTTATAAACTGGGTAAGTATGTGGGTTGCAAAAGCAGGGAAGAAAATCATATAAAGCTAGGTCACAAAGGGTTGCATTTAAGTAGTCATGCATGGAATCATGAACTCGTCATCTCTAAGGTATAATTTGGACATGGTGGAGTGGACGCTGAGGCAAAGCCTCATACCTTAACATAGGTGAAAGCAGAAATATCATTTTCTGGATTGGCAGAGAAGTTTTTCATATGTAGAATTAATGCACATTTCTCTCCAGGTATTTTACCTTCAGCAAAATTATCAGGAAAATACAGAAGGAAGAAATAAGTGAAACACTAGCATAATGTATAAACACAATAAAGCAGTACAGTATGAATTATTTTATTGAAGTGGTGAGAGAACAGTGATCTGCCAAAGAAGTGTCTTTGTTGTGCAAGTTGGAGGTCTCTATCCAAAATGCTTGAGACCAGAATTTTTTCAGATTTTGGCTGTTTTTGGCAACTGAATGTATTTTTCCTCATCTAGCACCTGCCACATTGCAGTACCTGGAGTCCTTCTTTTCCCTCATCATGCTTCAGACTGTGTTGGAGAAACTCAGCCGTTGCTCAGTGTGTAGCCAGTCCCCTTTCCTCAAAGGTGGAAATTGTTGCACTCCAGAGCAGGATCCCCTCTGACTTTAAACACCACACAGTTGAGTTAAAATAACAAGCAGTTTATTGAAAGCCAAAGCAATAAAAAGTAATCCACAGTAAAAGGTAAATCCAATTGATTAGGAAGGAAAGGGAGCAATTAGTCCAAAGAAGTCCATGTAACTAGATACTCGATTTCACCAGGCCTGCCCTAGTGGATACCAAAATCTGTGAATGCTCAATGGCATAGTAAAATGTCATCCCTTATATAAAATGGTGAACAACTCAAATGAGTCCTGGAGAGAGCCTGCGGATCTGTGAAATGATGAGAAGTTATAGGAAGTTAGGCTTAAACATTGCCATGCCACAAAATCAAGGACTGCTATTTGGAATTTCCCCCCTGAATATTTTTCAGGTGTGGTTGGTTGATTCTGTGGATGGAGGACCTGTGCATAGAGAGGCTGACTTTATCTGTAATATCACTTTGCTGCATTGATTTGTATACCTTATATATTTTAAATGGATTTGTAAGGGCTTTTGAGTAATATGACATCTAATGAGTGAAGATGATGGTAAGCTATGTTATGGAGAACAACATAAATTATAAGTGCAACAGAGTAGAACAATTGACACAGTACATTAAAATCCAATGTAACATAAAGTCCTTTGTGGCTAAAAATGCAGCTTAAATCCTTTCTCCATTTCTTGTTTTTAGGACATAGATATGTATTATAGTGAAACAGATACACCTGCAATGGCCAGAACTTCAAATCTTAATGAGGAACTTGGCCAGGTAAGGATCAAATTATGTAGTTATGCAAAAATGAACCCCTATAATCAGAGGTGGGCAAAGCATTGCTGTTTAGGAGATTTTTTACAGTAACTGTGTTTCTAGAGTTATAAGCTGTGTTTGAAAGGGATGATACATAGCAATGGCTTGGTCTTAAACAGACATATCTCCATCTGCCCCTCCTCTGCATACCCACACAGGCAGCCTTTTCAATCCAGAGTAAAGACAGGTCTGGGATCCAGATAATCCCAGTAGACTTCATAGTTCAAGACTGTGGGCTGTGATATTTTGTTTGCTGCCCAAAACGTCAAGAAGACCATTCAGCCTGGATTGACAGTAGATCATACCCAGAAGGTCATGGAAAGTGTGCCATGCAGTACAGTGCTTCTCACGTATGCCATAGTTTCTTCCATTGCCAGTGCAATGAGAAGGGCAAGAGTGCATTAGTAAAGGGAGACAGAGTTGCCTTTACCAATTTTGAGATTTACTAACTGAAACATTGTATTTGTGCATTGAATAACATTTTGCATTATTAGGTTGCTGTGAGTTTTCCAGGCTGTATTGCCATGTTCCAGAAGCATTATTTCCTGATGTTTCACCCACATCTATGGCAGGCATCCTCAGAGGTTGTGAGGTCTGTTGGAAACTAAGCAAGTGGGGTTTATATATTTGTGGAATGTCCAGGGTGGGAGAAAGAACTCTTGTCTGCTGGAGGCAAGTGTGATTGTCATATTAGACTACACAGAGAAGCCATTGAAATCCACAAGCATGTGGACAATTTCAAGAGAAAGGAGGAAACCGTGAAAATGAACAAAATCTGGCTACCAGTTTTAAAATACTCTAAAACGAGGACAGCAAATAAAAACAATGCTCCGAAAACAGGGGAATTCCAGACAGGAAACAATCGGGGTCAGTTAATGCTTCCTTTCAAAGTATTCCCTCAGGCAGGAAGCACTCATGCTTTGAAGCTGCAAGGCCATTCACTGCAAATTAAGGTGGTCAATTGCAACATTCACACTTGCCTCCTGCAGATAAGAGTTCTTTCTCCCACCCTGGATATTCTACAGGTACATAAACCCCATTTTCCTAGTATCCAACAGACCTCACAACCTCTGAGGATGCCTACCATAGATGCAGGTGAAACGTCAGGAGAGAATGCTTCTGGAACATGGACGTACATCCCTGAAAACTCACAGCAACCAAGTGATTCTGGCCATGAAAGCCTTTGACAACACATTTTGCATTATGCCTATATTATGGAATGTGATGCCTTGGAGTGTGGCAGAGTCCTCTTCTCTGGAGGCTTTTAAGTAAAAGTTGGATGGTCATCTGTCAAGAGTGCTTGGGTTGTGTTTCCCTTGGGGTCTCTTCCAACTCTGTGATTCTATTATCTATAGTTGATTCCACAGCAGTCAAAGCTAAAAGCTTTTTACCTTATATCAAATAAAGCAATTCTTTTAACATAATTTTCTAAAAACCAAAACACTGAATACTATATGCGCTCATCAAAGCTTTTTCTCTTACTTCAAGTCTAAGTAAATGTAAGCAAAATATACTGAGTATTTTTAGGATTCTCAAAATAACATATAAAGCAGAGCATTACATCTCATTGGGATATTTTCCTTTTTGGAAACTGTCTAGACAGTCAGTCTTCACAGTGCTATTTAAATAGTAAAGAAAAAGAAAAGCAGACCTGGTTTCAGAGTGATCCTTCTGTCAACAAAAATTATGTATTCATACTCTGGCAAGAGTTTTTTCTCCTTTAGAATGATATTTTGCTGTGGGGAGAGAAAAGCTGAAAAAAGATGTGATTTTCCTCAGTAAGGAATTTCTATAAATAACCAAGTATTTATGTACAATATCAAAGGTGGGGATTGTGTGCTCCTTCAAATGTTGTTAGACTGAAACACTCGTCATTCTTCACCAGTCTGGCAATGTCTGGAGGGCTGCAGAATTTGCACTCCTGTATTAATTTAAAAAGTTACCCTTATTTTAAGTGGTTTTTTAAAAAATCCTTTCCATTCTTAATAATGATCTTGCTCACTCCCAGTCATTTAGATTTGGGATTCTGTGCACACTCACTTCAAACCAAGTCCTGCTGAATATAGTGAAACTCATTTGGTCTACTTCTTGTTTGTTTTTGTTTCCTCAGCCTTTCGTATCTAATATATATTTAGCAACCTACTTCAAACCTATCATTTGTCTTCTAGGTAAAATACCTGTTTTCTGATAAAACAGGAACCTTAACATGCAATATTATGAACTTCAAAAAATGTAGTATTGCTGGAGTAACCTATGGGTATGTATTGGGTAAAGTACATTGTATTGATCTAATGTATTTGTTTTATTAAAGCAACACATTTCTTTTAGTCCTATGCATTTTAGTTGTTAGCAAGGGACACCTTTTGATAACATTGCCTGCCAAATCTTTAAAAATGTGGGAATGTTTTGTTTGAGTTTTATTTTTTAAAAAAATTAATGTACGAAGAACTGTGATGTTATGTTACAACAAACGGTTCCAGCACAGCTTACCTGTGTGCAGGCCCGTAGCCAGGATTTCGTTTCGGGGGGGGGGGGGGGGGTAAAATTTTTCAGGGGGGTTTCGGGGGGGGCTGAGTTTCGGGGGGGGGGAGTCTGAGTGAAAGAGGGTCTAGCCTAGCAAACCTTTTGTATCATTACCCCAATACCCCCATATATATGGGATATATTGAGAATGGTGATCAAATCATGATATTAATAAACATAACAGTTTAAATAATGCACCAGTAAGGCCTTTTCATGAACCACCATGAGAATTTCGGGGGGGGGGGGCTGAAGCCCCCCAGCCCCCCCCCCGGCTACATGCTGCCTGTGTGGATGTATCTCCTCCTATGAATAATCGCAGAGATTAAGATCGTCTGGGGAGGCCCTGCTCTTGGTCCTGCCTCCGTTGCAGGCACATCTAGTGGGAACAAGAGTCAGGGCCTTCTCAGTGGTGGCCCCTCAGCTGTGGAACCCTCTTCCCAGTGACATTAGAGCAGCTTCCTCCCTCCTGACCTTCAGAAAGAAAGTGAAGACATGGATGTGGACCAAGCCTTTGGGCAGTAACTCTCAGTACAATAAGTAACTAGTGCAGCTTATGACCAGAATGGCTTCTGGAATATGCCTTTGGATTGCATGGTTCAGAAGGAAAGTGAAAAGCTGGCCCTGGGGTCAAGCCTTTGCAGATTAATCTATAGTGCAATAATAGCATTGAAATATGTGCCATTAATTTTTGGAATGGCCCTGGGTTATGACTGAAGATAGCTTGACTTTAATAGTGAATGCAATGTTTTATATGTTTTAATGTGCATTTAATTTTAATTTTTTAACTTAAGTGTATTTGAAATGTTTCAAATAGTTACCATATATAAAGTCACCTTGAGTTCCCTTCAGGGTAGAGAAAGGCGGGATACAAATAGAGTAAATAAATAAATAAATATTGTACTGGGACCTGAAACTCTGGGAGGGATTCCCAGAACCCCCCCCCCCCCACTGTGTTTGAAGTTAAGGAAAAGATAGGGAACCAGTTTCCGAAATACAGCTCACTACAGGGCCCAGATATTATTGCTCTCGGCAGCACATTCAAGGGCCAAGATCTTGTTCTTTCCCAAAGTCATCACTCTTTAATATTTTAGCAATTGATTAGATGATGAGTTGGAGGGAATAATCAAATTCATGGACAATACTAAAATGAGAGGAGTGGGTAACACATTGGAAGATAGGAAAACAATTCAAAGATAAACGAGAAAATCTGGTTGAAATTAATAGAATGAAATGTGATAGAAACAAATGCAAAATTCTTTATCTAGGCTAGAAAACAAAAAATGTCCAGGTAAAGGATGAGGAATAAATAATTCAGCAATAGCACATGTTAAAATGACATTGAGATTATAGTTGCTCATACATTCAATAACACAGAAAAATGATGCTGCAGCAAGAAATCCAATATGATTTTAGACCTTCAACTCAAGAGAACTAATGGTTCTACTATATTCTGGAACCCCTGGTGGCACAGCAAGTTAAACTGCTGAGCTGCTGAAAATGCTGACCGAAAGCTCAGTCGTTCAGATCTGGGGAGTGGGGTGAGCTCTTGCTGTTCACCCCAGTTTCTGCCAACCTAGCAGTTCAAAAGCATGCAAATGAGAGTAGATCAATAGGTACCCCTTTGATCTACTCTGCAGGAAGGTAACAGTGCTCCATGCAGTCATGCTGGCCACATGACCTTGGAGGTGTCTCTGGACAACGCCTGCTCTTTGGCTTAGAAATGGAGATGAGCACTACCCCCCAGAGTCAGACATGACTAGACTTAATATCAAGGGGAAACCTTTACCTTTTATATTTTGTGAAGGTCAAGTCTCCTCTGGAGTATTGTGTTTATTTCATTTTAAGAAGGACATAGACAAGTTGGAGTGATGACAAGAGGTATGGAGGACAAAACATATAAGGAATAGGAATGTTTTGGGTACTTGTGTGGATGATCTTTAGGATGGAAGTTTCTTTCTGGTAAGGTGGCCATCCAGCTATTTGTAAAGTGATGATTTTGGAGCCATCTAGAGGTTAATAGCCTTAACAACTTTTCCTGATTAGACTACTTGTTCCACCCATTATGCATCTCTCTCTCTCGCAATCTCTTTTAGTCATTTTCCAGAACTGGCAAGAGAATGTTCATCAGAGGACTTCAGGTAAGTAAAGATCCTGAAACATTTTGCAGATGAAAGCCAAGACACCTGTGTGCAGTCAAGATGACTAATATTGATGAGAAAGAACATAAATTAGAGTAACTCTTAGAAATTTTTGCATTGTAGATTTCAGAATTTTTCATGGTCATGCTAAGGAAAATATGTCTGGCATCCTTTTAGGACCATCGGCATGCCACAGAGTCATAGAATCGAAGAGCTGGAAGAGGCTATGCAATATAACCCCCTTACATATGTGTATGTCTTGTTTAGGGAACTGTGCAATTTGGTGTTCCCATCTCAGCAGCCAACACATATAACAAGGATCTGACTATGTCCCGGTAGCTAGATGTGAAATTATTGCATTAACACTGACAACCCTAGTGGATCTCAGTGCTGTTGTCATCATGTTGCAGATGACTTGCAGGAACACAGACATGTTGCCGATGATTACAGGAACATAGACATGTTGCAGATGATTACAGGAACATAGACAAATAACAATTTTCTACAAGGTGTTAAGTTGGATGACATAGCCTGGCACAGGCCTGCATGCAGGAGTATTATGCTATACTAAGCCATGTTAAATTGCAACATATGTCCTCTTGTCTAATTTAGAGTTGCGTTTCTGATAAAAGGCAGTCACAGATATTTCAGGAAGATGCCCAATGCTTTGGTTTAATAGTTGATTATGTGCACTGCACCGGTCTCTTGTGTATGTGCATTTTGAAAGGGAGAGACTATAGCTCAGTGGTAGTGTACATCATTTGAATGTAGACAATTCCTAGTTCAATTCCTGGAACCTTTTGGACAGGCTAGGAAATACTCCTGCCAAAAACCCTGATCTGTTTCCATTCAATATTGGCAGTACTGGGTTGGAAGCACCAATAGTTTCACTCCTGTGTCAGGCAACTTTCTATATTTTATGTTAATATATTTAAGGCAATTGAGCAAACCTTTACTGCCTCTTTTTGGTACTCTCAGCCAGCTTCCTCCTTCCACCAGTGAATCTTGTGAATTTGATGACCCAAGGCTGCTGCAGAACATCGAGAGTGAGCATGTAAGTCCAACTCTGTAGGATTTTGTCAATGATTGTTCTACATAGTGCCGAAATCTTTTCTTTTTAGCTGGAAGATAAAATTAGGATCCATCAGTGTTGTAGATCATGTGCTTCATTCCATGCTGGATGAATATTCACAGCTGAAATTAATGTGATTTATTTCTAACTAAATTGGTTGAGAGTTGCTGCTGGGATTGAGGGCTAAAATCCTATGCATGCTTACCAGAGAATAAGCTCCATTGAGATTGGATTTGATCTGTTGTTGTCTTGCTGTAAGCAGTATAAGGCAACACAGCAATGTTTAAAGTCAGACTAACAGGAAAGTAAACAAAGTGAAAAAAGCACCAGGGTCCAGTTTGGTAATTTTACAAAAAAGTAAACGATCACCATTCAGATTCTGCAACATATTGCAGATGAAAACCAGTATACTGGTGGCTAAGGAATATTAGTGTGTAGCCAAGGTGGCAAAAGTTAGCACTGAGGAAGAACAGACACTTTAGGAGAAGCTGCAGCAGTTTGTTTTTGCTTAAGCCCTGTATGGAGAGGACAATTCTGCTTCTCCTCTCCTTTGTCTCCACAGAGTTAATTCAGTACAAACTATTTCTGCCCTTTGAACTCAGTTTAGGACAGTTGAAGGACAATGCAGGAAAGTGAAAAAAGAGAAAGAAATAGGGACATTTTTAAAGCAGTTGGGAAAAAACAGGACATAAAAGGAAAAATTAGGACTATTCCTACCAAATCAGGAGTATGCCAGGGCTCCTGGTGGCACAGTGGGTTAAACCCTTGTACTGGCAGGATTGCTGACTGAAAGGTTGGCATTTTGAATCTGGGGAGCAGCGTGAGCTTCTGTGTGTCAGCTCCAGCTTCTTATGCGAGGACATGGGAGAAGCTTCCCACAGGATGGTAAAACATCCAGGTGTCCCAGGGCAACGTTCTTGCAGGTAGCCAGTTCGCTCACACCAGAAATGACTTACAGTTTCTCAAGGCGCTCCTGACATTAAAAAAAGAGTTTCTTGAACCTCACAACAATTTAACAACCTACGCTACAAGGTCTTGGATGATGTTTGGAGACTCCATAGTGGATTTCAAGGAAGCCATTGGTCCCATTTTGGAGCAATGATCAGCATTGTCATTCTTGAAAATTCCATCCGCTTTGTGCACTAACCTCTGCACAAAAGTAGAATGACATAAAAATTGTGTTCATTTTTGTCGTTCTTGCATGTGCTAAATAAATATTTGTCTCAATCTATGTGCTTTTGAGAACTGAAAAGCATTATGAAATATAAGCACGAATACCTTAGTCATAACCTTTTAAAAGTCCCAATACATTGATTTTCTGCAAGAGCGGCTGCTGTAATGTTTAAGGAACTCAGAAGGGTCCATTTCCTCATTTGAAATTAAATGGGGAAATTGATGTAAGCAGGAGATCTAAGTCAGCACAGTCTGTGGTGATTGAGATTACAAGCAGAGTTTGGAAACATTTTTTTAAAAAAAATCATAAGTCCCAGCATCCCTTTGCCGGCATTCTTGCTGAAGTTTCTCAGAGTTGTAAGTCAAAGAATAATTCTGATCACAAACATATAAAAGCTGCAAATATTATTCTCCAAGGGCTCTGAACTGAGAAACTTGGTTATGACTCGAAAGGGGCATCATGTGTACCTTGGACTCATTTGAATGTTATCATCTTGTTTCTAAGAACAAGCTCCTTCTTTCAAACCATCTTGTTGACATGTGGTCCTTCTCTGAGTACCATCAGCAGGAGAAAAAGAATATGAATGCACAAAGGAGGGGCCTTTTCTGTGGTGGCTCCTTGATTCTGGATTGTCTTCTCTAAGGAGAATTCAACCAGCACCTTCATTATAGTCGTTTTAGGTCAGCACCTTTTTATTATTTGCCCAGGTACTTTACCCAGATTCTGCTGGTTGTGTAGATGTGTTGATGTAAGCCTCCCAGGATTTGTTTTGTTTGGGTGTTGTTTATCTATATTCTTTATGTTGTATATATGGCATGTAAAGAAGTTGCCATTATAAATAATGTCTTGGCATCCATTTGTAGTCAAGGACTACCTAAAATTTTAAGAACAAAAAAATTAAACTCAATTTTTTCTTAATCTTCCTGACAATTTGGGATTTAGTCTATTTGTCATACATAGACAGAAAGATGAACTTGAGCCAACAATATCATGTGGCAACATAAAAAGCCAGTGGGAGTTTGGCTTGCATAAATAGGAGTACAGTGACTAGATCCAGGGAAGTCATGCTACCCCTCTATTCTGCCTTGGTCAGACCACATCTGGAATTCTGTGCCCAATTCTGGGCACCACATTTTAAGGGAAATGCTGACAACCTGGAACGTGTCCAGAGGAGGGTGACTAAAATGATCAAGGATCTGGAGAACAAGCTCTATGAGGAGTAGCTTAAAGAGCTGGGCATATTTAACCTGCAGAAGAGAAGGCTGACAGGAGATATGATGGCAATGTATAAATATTTGAGGGGAAGTCATAGGAGGAGGGAGCAAGCTTGTTTTCTTCTGCCCTGGAAACTAGAATGTGGAGCAATGGCTTCAAACTACAGGAAAGGAGATTCCACCTGAACATTAGGAAGAACTGTTCAACAGTGGAACTTTCTGCCCCAGAGTGTGGTGGCTCTTTCTTTGGAGGCTTTTAAACAGAGGCTAGATGGCCATATGTTGGGGGGGGGGGGAGCTTTGAATGTGATTTTCCTGCTTCTTGGCAGGGGGTTGGACTGGATGGCCCATGAGGTCTCTTCCAACTCTATGATTCTAAGAAGAAGAAGAAGAACTTCATTTTTATACCCCGCCTCCATCTCCCCGAAGGGACTCGGGGTGGCTTACATGGGTCCAAGCCCAAACAACATACAGTTAAAATATAGGAAATAAAATATTAAAACAACATAAAAGCAACATCATAAACAATAATAAAACAGGCATCATAAATACAAACCAAAAATACTTCAAGTCTCATTTTGGGGTGGGGCTGATGTACAAACAAGTTAAAGAATGGGCTGGTCAATAAGGTGGATAGAACATATAACAACATAGGAATAGAGCCATTGTGACAAGGTCATTTTATCTTGAAAGCTCAGTAATCAGATACAGGAACTTGATTTTAGGCCATGGTTAGGGACCATCTGTCAAAGGAATCATCAATCAAATGCACAACGGAACATCCACGCCTTTAGTTCCTTACGAAACGTGGCTAGGGAGGGTGCTAGCCTGATCTCCCTAGGGAGGGAGTTCCAGAGTCGAGGGGCCACCACTGAGAATGCCCTTTCTCTTGTCCCCACCAACCATGCCTGAGATGGGGGGTGGGAGCAAGAGAAGAGCCTCCCCAGAAGATCTTGGAGACCGTGTGGGCTCGTAGGGGAAGATACAGTCACAAAGATAGGCAGGTCCTCAACCTGATGCTAAGAATGTCACCTTAAATGTCTGAATTTAAAATATGTATTGGCCGTTTACTGATAACTCTGAGGTAAAGCTGACATTTAGTTTGACATCATGCAGAGTAATAAATGTCGCACAGCTGCTGACAATACCTGTCAAGGAGAGAACAACAGCTGTGTGGAAAAGCTGAGGTGATAAGATGGTCACCATTGTCGCTGTAGAATTGGGTGAGCGAAATCTATTGTAAACTGTGAAAACAGAAAGACAAAAGCAGACTGAATAATTGATTTTAATATAGGGACATTATGAGATGTCTCTCCGAGCTTGCCTGCGTCAGGGAAAGTAAGATTGTTTTTTTGTTAGCTGAGGGCATGTGAGGGGATAGATAGATGATATCCCTGTCATAGGAACAATGAAGTTCTGTGGCAATTGGCCCAGAAACAAAGGGAACTATTGGCCTTATCTGAAAAGACTGTTTGCTGCATACTTGCCTCTGCGAATGATATCCCGTAATCCATCTTATTCAATTATTTTGTGTTTGCCAGGAACTAGAATTAGGCTGTTATTGTTGTGTGCCTTCAGGTTGTTTTCCAGATTATGGCAACACTAAGGTGACCTTGTCATGGCGTTTTCTGGGCAAGATTTGTTCAGAAGGGTTTGCCTTTGCCTTCCTTAGAGGCTGAGAGAGAGTGACTTGCTCAAGGCCCCCCAGTGGGTTCCCAGGCCCAAGTGGGGGCCACAGTCCAATGCTCAAACCATGCTACCAGACTTTGGACAATTACGGAGAACTCTTTTCTGCCATTGTTTGTTATAGTAATTGAAAAAGTTAACAACTACATGACCCATGGTAGGATTCATTGGGTTGACTTGATCCTTTCTTTGCAGCCCACAGCAACTCATATTCGAGAATTTCTCACCCTCCTGGCTGTGTGTCACACCGTGGTTCCAGAAAGAGATGGAGAAAAAATCATCTACCAGGCCTCCTCTCCAGGTTTGTTGCTGAATCCATCTGAATGATCGTAGAAAGCCAGAGAAACAACAGGATGGGAGAATTGAGATAGGACATAAGTCAAGACCTAGTTTGTTACAGCCAAAGAACATAAGATGGTGGGTTTTAAAGAAGTACTGTCTAGTTAAAGGATTAGAAAGTTGTCATCATAGGAGTGAAGGCTGTCTAGCTAGATGAGATTATAAGAGCCATTTGTAATTGTACTTTGCCTGTCAAATCAGCACAGTTGGAAAGTATGACTTTATTCCAGTAGTTCTCCACCTGGGGTTCCCAGATGTTTTTGGCCTTCAATTCCCAGAAATCCCAACAGCTGGTAAACTGGCCAAAAACATCTGGGGACTCCAGGTTGAGAAACACTGCTTTATTCTTTGGAGAAATCTTAACAATAAGATTTACCAAAAGCCTCACGCTTGCCAAAGTACAAACAAAAAGTCACAGAAGCGACACAAATATACAATGCTGGAAAACTGCACTACTACTACTACTACTACTACTACTACTACTTCTTATTATTATTATTATTATTATTATTATTATTATTATTTTGAAACACAAATGAGTCCACAGCAAACAAGCTCACTGCTGGCTGTTGTATTGGATCCACACGTCGGACACTTCCCAAGTGTCTAGGGACTGTGTGATGTATCGAAATAATGTGTGCAGATCCCAGTAAGGTGGCCTTTTGCAGCTGGCAGATGGTAATCTTGTCAGTACCGATTGTGTTTAAGTGCAGGCCAAGGTCTTTAGGCACTGCACCCAGTGTGATGATCACCACTGGGACCACCTTACTGGCTTGTGCCAGAGTCTTCGCAGTTCGATCTTTAAATCCTCATATCGTGTCAGCTTTTCCAGTTGTTTCCCTTCAATCCTGCTGTCACCTGGGATTGCAACATCAATGATCCATACTTTGTTTATAATTATTATTTACCATATTTCAGACTCAATCACACCACTACCACTGGTTCAGATAACATATTAGTGAGTAAATGACTGAGTTTTCAGAGAACCTTTTTCACTTTCTTTGCACAAAAAGAAAGGGTTGAAGCTGAACAAATTGAGTCCAATGGCAGAGCACTGATTGCTTGCACCATGCAGTGAAGGGATAATTGTTGAGAATTACAGCTGTGGGATTTTGCTTGTGAAGTCTGAAACGATACAATTGTGGCGGCAGCAGCAACAACAAAAGTAATACAGATTGAGCATCCTGTCTGGAAAACTGAAATTCAAAATACTCCTTTTAAAATTTTTATATCCTGCTTTCTCTCCATAACGTAAAGGTAAAGGTTTTCCCCTGACATTAAGTCTAGTTGTGTCCAACTCTGGGGGTTGGTGCTCATCTTCATTTCTAAGCTGAAGAGCCGGTGTTGTCCGTAGACACCTCCAGAGTCATGTGGTCAGCATGACTGCATGGAATGCCGTTACCTGAAAAAGCCCTGAAATATGAAAATTGTTTAAAACATTAATAAAAGTCCTAGTAATATGTTAAAGTGTGTGAAGACATTCATTCTTTCTTTCTGATTATGATATCCATTAGCAGTGAATCCTAAACTGAGGCACATATTATGCTTATTAGAGCTTCAACCCCCATGATCATAATGCGGGAACATCACTTCCTTTTTCAAAAGTTCCCATTGACAGTAATAGAAATTATTACAGTCTTTCCTTACCTGCAAACTAAAAAAAAGAAAGACTGGGTTCCTCTTTTCAACCATTTTCAGTTTTGGACAGTGCCCTGGTCCCTAACCTGTGAAACAAGCAAAGAAAACATTTATATTCCGCCCTTCTCATCCCAAAAGGGACTCAGGGCAGAGCAAAACATATATACGGCAAACATTCAATGCTGAAACATAAAATAAACTATAAATACCGTATATACTCGAGTATAAGTCGACCCGAATATAAGCTGAGGCACCTAATTTTACCACAAAAAACTGGGAAAATGTATTGACTTGAGTATAAGCCAAGGGTGGGAAATGCAGCAGCTACTGGTAAATTTCAAAATAAAAATAGATACCAATAAAATGATATTAATTTAGGCATCAGTAGGTTAAATGTTTTTGAATATTGACATAAAACTGTAATTCAAGATAAGACTGTCCAACTCTGATTAAACCATTATTCTAACCTTCTTCAATGTAAATAGTGCTTACATGTCCTCCAATAATAATAAATAGAGTAAAATAATAATAATAGAGTAAAATAATAAACGTAATAATAACAATACAGTAAAATAATAAATGTAACAATAACAATAATAGAGTAAAATAATAAATGTAATAATAACAATAAAATAATAAATGTAATAATAATAATAATAACAACAAAGTAAAATAATAAATAATATTGACTCGAGTATAAGCTGGGGGAGACTTTTTCAGCCTAAAAAAAGGACTGAAAAACTAGGCTTATACTCGAGTATATACAGTATATATAAACATTAAAATTAATTATCTCCACTTTAAAATTAATTGCTTAAAACTATCTCAGATCAGCCATGCCGGATCTGGTCAGCAGGATAAAGTTTCTATTGTTGCCTTATTGCGCTGTCCCAAAGGATTGGTCCCACAGCCAAGTTTTAACCATCTTTCTGAAGGACAGGAGGGAGGAGGCTGATCTAATCTCGCCAGGGAGTCAGTTTGATAGCCGAGGGGCAATAACTGAGAAAGCCCTCTCTTGTCCCCGCCACTTGTGCCTGTGATAGTGGCAGAACAGAGAGCAGGGCCTCCCCAGAAGATCTTAATCTCTGTAGTGGTTCATGGAGGAAGATGCGTTCCAACAAGTAAACTGGACTGGGGCCATTTAGGGCTTTATAGGCTAATGCCAATACTTTGAAGTGTGCTCGGTAGCAAACTAGCACCCTGTGTGCTCCCTGTATGCCGCCCCAGTTATTAACCTGACCACCTTTCGATGGACTATTTGAAGCTTCCAAACAGTCTTCAAAGGGAACCACATGTAGAGCACATTTCAGTAGTCTATTCTAGATGTAACGAGAGCATGGACCATCATGGCCAGGTCTGACTTCCCAAGGCATGGGCTTAACTGGTGCACAAGTTTTAATTGTGCAAAAGCCCCCCAGCCACTACCAAAACCTGAGGTTCCAGGCTAAGCAATGAGTCTAGGAGGACTCCCAAAGTGGCAAACCTGTGCCTTCAAGGGGAGTGTAACCCCATCCAGCACAGGCTGTATTCCTATACCCTGTTTGGCTTGTGACTGACCAGGAGTACCTCTGTCTTGTCTGGATTCAACTTCAATTTGTTTGCCCTCATCCAGACCATGAACTGTTTTTATTTTTAAAGAATGAAATATTTGGATGTCTTTGTGATTATTCCTTAAAGACAGGCTCTCTTTCCTTACAGATGAAGGAGCTTTAGTCAAAGGAGCAAAAAGACTTGGCTATGTCTTCACTGGAAGGACTCCTGATTCTGTCATCATTGATGCGGTAAGATTGGCACAAGGATATATGCATTGTGCAAGTATTGTGCCGTAAGTAGGAGAGCTTGTGTTCAGCTTCTCATAGTGTATTTAGAATGGACTTTTTGGGAAAGGGCTTAGTGGTAGGTTGGATGTTTTCCACACTAAAAGTCCCATGACCAATGCCTGGCATCTCCACAAAGAACAAAAGTAATTAATCCTTGGAGAGTTAAAGCCAGGTGGCATAGACTCAGCAGGAGGAACTTCTTGTCCCATGATCCTGATCTGGTCTGTAGAGGATTGCAATCCAGCCCATGGGAGGGTAGATATTCCTTGTGGAAAGCACAGAGGAGGAGCAGACAGAACTAACAGCAAATGCAAGCAATTGAAAATAAAGTGATATATTAAGTGGGCACGTACTGAAACTGGAAAAGCTGACAATGAATAATAAATAACATTAAATAGAGCTCTGAAAGTATGAAAACAAATTGATTAACTGGCAACATCCCTGGAAATGTAACAAAATATCCATAAATAATGAAAACATTACTCATAGCAAAATGGGCAGTAAATATGTGGGCAATTAAGAAAACCAAGTATGAGGTGTTGTGTGGTTTCCAGGCTATATGGCCATGTTCTATCTGCATTTTCTCCTGAGGATCAGAAGAGTGTGAATGTTGCAATTGGATGAAACCACAAAAATGGTCAAAATCTGGCTGCCAGTATTTAAAAAACTCTAAAATCAGGACATTAAATAAAAATGACACTCAGAAAACGGGAATTCCTGACATGAAAAAATCAGGGCCAGCTAACACCTCCCAACAAAGGATTACTCCAGGCAGGAAGCAGCCAGACTTTGAAGCTGCAGGGCCATTCAGTGCTGATCAAGCTGGCAAATTGCAGCATTCACACTTGCCCCAAACAGACAAGAGTTCTTTCTCCCACCCACAAATATATAAACCTCACTTGCCTAGTTTCCAACAGACCTCATAACCTCTGAGGATGCCTACCATAGATGTGGGTGAAACATCAGGAGAGAATGCTTCAGAATACAACCTGGAAAACTCACAACAACCCAATTTTTCCATGTTTTTATGATAGAATCAAGTAGGAAATGACATTTATAATCCAAGGACAAAAATCATGTTGCAATACATAGTGTTATTGGAGCTGTAAAGACATACAGTTCTTCAACCAGCAGGTGGCGCTGTCCTCATATATTTGAAAGCCAGTTTGTCATGGTTATTTTCGTTGTACTTCATCCCCTTGTTTAGTTTGTTTATATATATAGTGTTTTATAAGCTAAAGTCTATCCTTTTTTCATATTCTTGCAGCTAGGAAAAGAAGAGTCCTACGAGATCCTTAACGTGTTGGAATTTTCCAGGTAATTGGTTTTTGGAAGGATTGTGGTTTCTAAGTAATTGGAGGGGACTAAACAGCATTTGTAGAAATACCTGGAATCTTGGGTAATATACATAATTTAGGTGGATTTATGCTTTTTGCTCAAAATCATGAGATTCGGGACATATGGAGCCAGTTAGGCTGAAAGATTGTGCTAACTTAATGTGGGATGTTATAGTGGCTCTCATCTTTATTGGCCTTCCTTCTTTTCATAGAATCTAATAGGAGCCCCTAGTGGTGCAATGAGTTAAACCCTTGTGCCGCCAGGACTGCTGACTGAAAGGTCGGAGGTCTGTATCCTGGGAGCAGGGTGAGCTCCCTTCCATTAGCTTCAGCTTCTCATGTGGGAACATGAGAGAAGCCTCCCACGAGATGGTAAAACATTCAGGTGTCCCCTGGGCAATGTCCTTTCAGATGGCCAATTCTCTCACACCAGAAGTGACTTGCAGTTTCTCAAGTCACTCCTGCCACACACACACACAAAATGATTTTCTACTAGTCACCCCAGTTGTCTGGCTCCCTCCAGAGTATCCCCAAGCCTTGCAGAACAGACTTTATAGGATAGAAAAGCCTGCTTCCAAAGGGAATGGGATACTAGTTAAAGCCACCAGTCTCTTCCAATAAGGAGCAAAACACAGGGGATGATTCTCGCAATGGAAGTAGATCTAGACTTCTGGCCATTGTCTAACGATGGCCTAGAACAGTGGTTCTCAACCTGGGGTCCCAGATGTTTTTGGCCTTCAACTCCCAGAAATCCTAACAGCTGGTAAACTGGCTGGGATTTCTGGGAGTTGTAGACCAAAAACATCTGGGGACCCCAGGTTGAGAACCACTGGCCTAGAAAGTACCTTTCCTGTCTATGTGTTCCCAGGTGACTTTGGACTATCAGACCTATTAAGCCTATCTGGCAGAACAGCATGCTAAGAAAAAAGGATATTTGAAAGAAGTCCTAATCCCTCACGCTCTTTCCTAACATCGCCCATTCCCAGAAAATACTTGTTCAGAGTCTTTGCTGCTTTGATCAATTCAGTTTGGAAGAGTCAGTCAAGGAAATGGCCAAGAAGGACAACAAGCAAAGTCATGCCATTTTTAAAACACAAGGATTGGTGGGATCTTTTGGCAAATTTGCGCCTCACTTTTTTGCATTGAAAATTGAAATCCATGTAAGATTTCCTCAGCCCACCCACCACCCCACAATATACATGCTTTTATTTGATGCAGCTGAAATTCCAAGCATTGTGGTATGATTGAATTATATTTATAGACCAGCTTGGGTACCCATCATTACCCCGGGTTATTTGAAAAGTAAATTTTTAATTGTACAAAATGCATAAGGTTGTGGATGAACTACAACTCACATCTAGATGCATCATTGTTGGGATTCAGTGTGCTCTCTGGCTACAGGGTAAACTGCAACTCACACTATTGTGAGCCAGTCCCCTCAAATCCACAGTAGGTTCAGTTGGTCATGGGAGTTCTGTGTGTCCAGGTCCATCATCGGTGGAGGACACAATTTCTCTGATTGTGGGTGAATACAACTCCCAGAAAGGAGGTCAGTTCCCCCCATACTCCTTCAGTAATCGAATTTCAGCATATCAGATATGTGTGCCAAGTTTGGTCCAAATCCATTGGTGTTTGGGTTTACAGTGCCCTCTGGATGTAGGTGAACTACAATTTCCCCAAATCAAGGTGAATTTTCCCCAAAGACATCCAGTATTTTTTGCTGGTCATGGGGGTTCTGTGTGCCAAGTTTGGTCCCATTCCATCTTTGGTGAAGTTCAGAGTACTCATTAATTGCAGCTTAACTATAAATCCCATATCTACAACTTCAAAATGTCCAAGCCAATTCCCCTCAAAACCCACCAGCATTCAAATTTGGACATATTGGTATACATGCCAAGTTTGATCCAGATCCACCATTGTTTGGGCTCATAATTCACTCTGGATGTAGGTGAACTACAACTCCTATCAATCCTTCCAAAGACCACCAGTATTTTTTTTGTTAGTCATGGGGCTTCTGTGTGCCAAGTTAGTTCCAGGTTCATCGTTGGTGGAGTTCAGAATGCTCTTAGATTGCAGGTGGACTATACATCCCAGTACTTACAACTCCTATAAATCATGGTGAATTCTCCCCAAATCTCTCTAATATGTTCTGTTGCTGATCAAATCCTCTGTTTGCTGTGTGCCATAGAAAAGAAGAGGAAAGGGTTAAGGGAGAAGCAGTGGGCGGCGTCATGGAAATTCCACACCAATTGAGAGAGTAAGAAATACTGGGATGTCTGTGGTGGAGGAAACACATAAAATCTTGGATGAAATTGTCCCTGAATGAAAGCCTTCACTTGGGTGGTGGGCAGTAGGGAGTTTGTGGAGGAGATTGGCAGGACTTTTGTACGTGTTCATGGCTCTCACTATACCTGCAGTGTCATTGGAGGGAGGACCATTGGTGTCTCCTGAGTAGTAGGAGCTACAGCTACAGTATTTGTGGAAGTGGGAGCCTGTCTGTGTAAGTGGACATCCCAGCCACGCATATACATACGTATTTTCACTTTTATTAGTGATATGCAATAGCGGATATGAAATAGATTCACCATTTCATATCCGCTTCATAATATCCCAGAGACAAAATTGAATATGTATTATGCAGTGTCAGGCACTGTTCACCCTTGCTTGAGTATCCCCATGAACATTTGAACTATTGATCACATTGTAGAATAATCTCGGTATGCAATTAGTCTTCCAATAACCCCCTCCTCCCTCCACACAAATTCAATACTGGAAAGTATAATCTTGATACTAAGGCACATGACTCACCACTTCACTTGTAATGAGAGAGAAGCAAACTGACTCTTCCAAAGATATCTGATCGAGCTTTAGGTCATTCCCTGACCTCAAACGAGGTCACTATCAAAATGCATTTCCAGTGTGGGGTCTTGTGAGAGAAGAAATTCATTAATTTCAAAATAATGACGTGAGCTTCATTTATAGGAAAGAAGATTAGGAAAGGCTGTTCAAGTTTCCACTGTTGGAGATTTGTATTTCTCAAAGGGTCTGGCACACATTCCTGACATGATTTCTTCCAGCCTTTAGAACTCCTTATATATTACGTATTGTCAGCTTCTTCTTCACCTTGCCATTTTTGTTAGCGCTTTTACTATCACTTGCTTAATCTGTGTGGTTTTTTGTGCTTCCGCTTCATGAAAACACATGTAAAATTAAAGGGGATGCCATTCTGTTTAAACTACAGTCACAGGCAGGGCTGGCCTCAGACATTTCTTGTGTAGCAAATGTGTTCCAAGGAAGTGGACCAAGGAAGTCAATTTAGTTGAGCATTTGAGGCAGAAAATTCCACAGTCCCCTTTCCCTCATTTCCTGCCAGTAAAGATGCAAGAATGACAATCAGTTACATAGTTCACAATGTACTGCCCTTCCATGACATCAGAAATTTGCTGCCTGAGACATCTGCCTCAGTTTCCCTAATGATAAGGTCATTTCAGAATTTAAGAAATGACAACTATGAAGTCCTAGAGAGATCAGTGGATCTCCTATCTAGCCTGTCATAGAAATCAAGTTTAAAGTCATGTCTGTAACATTTATAATATGATAATAAATAATAAAACTTTATTTTTAGTCCACCCTCTCTTTCCAAATGGACTCAGGGTGGATTCCAACAAAATACAGCAAACATTCAATGCCAAACACATTCATAAATAAAAATGCAAGAACAAACTAATTCAATATCAAAGGAAACAACAGCTATGACAAAATCGAACAAAGATTGAATGTTAACCTACAAATTACTTTGCATTTTGTATAAAAACATTACACATAAATTATATAAACACACACAATGATTATTGAGATAGTTATTAAAACATTAAATAGCCAATAAAGCCAGTGAGTGAACCGTACCACGTGAGCCAAGACCAAATAAGTTTAGAGTGTAATAGGAATATCAGGGAGATGGTGTATTGATTGCATATACACTTTTATTCTTTAGCGTGGTCACTGTGAAATCCACACCTGTGGTATTTCCTGCGTCCACGCAGCTGATTCGGATCCTTATTGAAAAACTTTTGCCAAATTCCCTCTCCAAAGACATCAGATTGGCCACCTCCCTCCTGTCCTTTAGAAGGAAACTCAAGACTTGGCTGAGTGGCCTTGCATTTGACCATTGAATAGTGGCTTGTCTGAAGAAGACATAAGCAATTTCGAAGTGACAATGAATTGACCCGGACCCGGATTCTAATTAGCATTTTTTAACAACTGTTTGTTTAATGTTTTGTTTTAATGAATGTGTTGATAATTTTATCATTATGATGGCTCCAAATGGTGTTTGTTGTGAGGCCGCCCTGAATCCCCCCCTCAGGGGTGAGAAGAGCAGGGTACAAGTATATGAAATAAAATAAAAAAAATTTTCCTTTCCCAATTCCAGGTGGTCTTCTGTTCCACAAACCCATCCCTTCTGCTCCGTATAATTCTCTTCCCCCTTTCCTGCTGTTGTCTTCCCAATGAAATCACAGAGTAGCCTGTTTAACAGAGATGTATTGTGCAGTTTCTCAGATCCAATATTTCGTCTCCCGAAGCACCAAGCCTTCCTGTTCCCTTAAATATGACAAAGGAAAAAGGGGCACCAATTCTAGTGAATTTTCATGACTTATTGCAAAAATATGAAGTTTAAACTTCAACATTAATTGGTAGAATCGAGTGAGCTAAGGAAATCACTAGTGAAGTCTAGCTAAATATTAACTTAATCCCAAGCAATGTGGGTTCACTTCCACTAACCACAAAAGTATAAAACATATGGAAAAATGTTTTGTGACAAGGCTATTACATTTATTGTGGCATAAGCCTTTTAGGAATATAGTCAATTTCAGCAGCTGCATAAGTATGGTATCCAATACTGTTGTGGGATTTAGCACTAAGAAAGCAAAAGAAAGTCTGAAGAAGTCATGCTTCTCCCTTGTAGGAGAAAAGGATCATTTTCTCACAAAAGAGTTCCTTTTGAATCCCTCCCAGGCTCCTGTACACTCATTTGCATTTGTGCTGGTGATAATGATACATTTGATGAAATCTCTGAAAACCTATGGCACAATAAATCTGCTTTTCTTTAAGATGTCAGTAGATGCATGTGTGTCTGTGTTTTCTGTAACTAACAAACAAAGCTACCATCTGGAAGAGCCTCAGGGGATATGTAGTAATTCTGTTCTTTTAGGAAGCAAATATTAGATTTCTCATAATCTTAAATACATCCATACAGCTCCAGTGATGAATGCAAAATGACATACGTTCACCGACAACCCAAAAGAAAGCAATTTACAGTTGATGTCACCAATAACAGAGAAATGGATACACTATTGTTCCATCATAAGGGGTTTTAGATTAGCAGTGTAGCGAGAGGTATTTGTATTTCTTACCCAGGACACAAATGTCTCACCAAACTACAAAGCCCAAGATTCATAGAATAGGAGTGTGACAACTGAAGGGGAATAATAAAGCTGGGCACCATCATTTATTATTTATCCATCATTTATCTTAGATAACTTATTTATCTTAGATAAAAAATAGTTATGTTAGTTTGGAGAATCTTTTTGTATCTTATGTATAAGGAATATGGTAGTGCCTGCGTACCACCAACCATCACTCCAATTTCTCACATATCAAGTTGCATAAACTTCACATTTTTAAAATTTTGCATCAAAAGCATTGCACAAACAAGTATAAAACTGATAAAATAGAGAAAACTCAAGCAACCAAATAATTTTATATCAAAAAAGGGCAACAGCGACCGCATTATCTGTAACTTTAAACAATTCTTCCTCTGTGCATGAGGCAGGGCATTGTGGGCAAGCATACAAATGCAGAGTTGTTTGTTCTGCTCCACAGTTGCTCAAGGTCGAGGATTCTTCTAGATCACTGTTTCTCAACCTTCCTAATGCCGTGACCCCTTAATATAGTTACTCATGTTGTGGTGGCCCCAACAATAAAATTATTTTTGTTGTTACTTCACAACTGTAGTTTTTCTATTGTTATGAATCGTAATGTCAATATCTGATCAACCTTCCTAATGCCGCAACTCCTTAATACAGTTCCTCATATTGTGGTGACCACCAACCATAAAATTATTTTCATTGCTACTTCATACCTATAATTTTGCTACTGTTATTAATTGTAATGTAAATATGCAGGATGTATTTTCTTCACTAAACCAAATTTGGCACAAATACCCCATATGCCCAAATTTGAATACTGGTGGAGTTGCGTGGGGGTGGTGGGTGGTGGTGGTGATTTTTTCATTTGGGAGTTGTAGTTGCTGGGATTTATAGTTAAACTACAATCAAAGAGCATTCTGAAGTCCACCAATGATGGAATTGAGCCAAACTTGGCACACAGAACTCCCATGACCCACAGAAAATACTGGAAGGGTTTGGTGGGCATTGACCTTGAGTTTTGGAGTTGTAGTTCACCTACATCCAGAGAGCACTGTGGAGTCAAACAATGATAGATCTGGACAAGCTTGGCACAAATACTCAATATGCCCAAATGTGAACACTGGTGGAGTTGGGGAAAATAGACCTTGACATTTGGGAGTTGTAGTTGCCAGGATTTATAGTTCACCTAAAATCAAAGAGCATTCTGAACCCACCAACAATAGAATTGGGCAAAACTTCCCAAAACTTCCCACACAGAACTCCCATGACCAACAGAAAATACTGTGTTTTCCGATAGTCTTTGGTGACCCCTCTGACAACCTCTCGCATGCCCCTCCCCCCAGGGGTCCCGACCCCAAGGTTGAGAAACATTGTTCTAGGTAGTACCATTAGCCAGGTTGTGTTTTGATCTCCCAATACCATTTCTGAGTCTGTTTAAGTACTTGCAAGTCATCCATTTTTGGTTTGCCCCTCAAGGCAGACCCTTGTGGGGGGCCATCCATTTGGGATTTCCTGGTTTAGCAGCCCAGAGAGATACTCTTACTGTTGCTGGGGAAACATTAAGAGGAGTGGTGGTTCTCATGAAGCTTTTCCTTGATTTGAGTCTACTGCGATGAGGCTGATAGCCATGTAGTGGATGGCTTTCACAGTGTTCAATTTTATTCCTCTCACATTTAGCAGCAACTTACCATCACACATCGGGGGGGGGGGGCAATGCCAGCTAGCCTATATAAACTTCAAATGATAGATGGCTTAATATATAAAAGGGTGAAGTCTACCATACTTAAAAGGTCTGGAAACAAGAGGTGCTAAGGTGACAAGAATGAATGTGAGCAACAACCAGCATAGCTATTCAAAAATAATATCCACCACAGTTCAGGATTTATTTGCTTTAATTAACAGGACAACTAACAGGACAATTAAATATCACAATGTAGCACTTTCTTTACCTTTCTCAGTAACAGAAAAAGAATGTCTGTGATCGTCCGGACTCCAGCAGGAAAACTACGTTTGTACTGCAAAGGCGCTGTAAGTGTTCCACTATTATTAACTACTAGGCAATGGCCCATTGCATTATGGCTTTAATATATTGAGTTTCATAAATGTTAGCAACATTTGTTAATGCTGGGTTAAATCCAACATCAGCCCCACTCCCAGTAGTATCACTGAAATGAATGGAACTTGTTATTCACAACTCAATAAGTCCCATAGCTTTCAGTGGTTTTGCTTTAGGTGGATTCTGCCTTTAAGGACTGTTTTAACTTCGAAGGCTCAAATTCATATTAAAGAAGTATATGTGGATAAAGTGAGATGGACCCTACTCTCTGGTGTCCTCTAGATCAACAAAGGAAGCAGAAATTATGGTGTATCCAATTAAATCTGCAGACGAAACTGGAAACATGTTTCAAGATACTTAAAAAAGGTTGTTTTATTGGCTAAAAGCCCAGTGTTAGCACTTTTGACCAGGAAAAAAAATCCATTATAGATTCACCAAAAGTTGGAAATGAAAACACAGCTACACCAAATACTCTTAAGATCTTCTTTGAGGAGGAGGGTATATAAAATGATAAAAGGATAATAATAATAATAATAATAATAATAATAATAATAATAATAATACACTTCATTTATATTCCGTTTTATCTCCCCAAAGGGACTCAGAGCGGATCACAGTATCCATACACAAGGCAAACATTCAGTGCTTTTTACACAATGAACAAACAACATACAATACACACACAGGTAAAAACCTGCCCCTTCCATCTCTGGCATCTGGAGGCGATGCTCAGCTCCAGCCATGGAGAGGTGTTCTTGTTTCAGGTTTCCATGTCAAAGAGCCTGTTGTCCATAGACATCTCTGATCGAGTTGCTGGCATGTCTACGTGTCTGCAGGGGGGTGCCCTTTTTACCTTCCCACAGAGGCAGTACCTATTGATCTACTAGCCTTACATGCTTTCAAACAGGAGGCTCTGGTGGCGCAATGGGTTAAACCCCTGGGCTGGCAGGACTGAAGACTGGGGAGAGCACGGATGAACTCCACCTCTCCATGCGGGGATATGAGAGAAGCCTCCCACAAGGGTGGGAAAACATCAAAACATCCAGGCATCTCCTGGGCAACGTCCTTGCAGACGGCCAATTCTCTCACACCAGAAGTGACTTGCAGTTTCTCAAGTCACTCCTGACACAACAAAAAAAAATGCTTTCAAATTGCTAGGTTGGCAGAAGCTAGGGCTGACAGTTGGGAGCTCACCCTATACAGCTAACCCTCCGGTCCACAATTTTCTTGCAGCTAGCAATTTTAACTGCTGCTCTGTCATGGCTCATAACTCAGTTAAAAGGATAACTCATGCATATATAATACTGTACAATGCAATAGTGATAGCATGTAATTTTATACCATATATTGGTGCATTTTATGTGTTCTTCTTTATTGATTGTACATAACCCCTGAAGAAAGCCTTATGAGTGTAAATGAGATGAAATTTGTTAGGCCTTTTAATCAATAAAACAGCCATCTTTTGAGCACCTTGAGACGTATTTGTTCTGTGGTGCTCAGGATCTAAATCAATTAACAAGGCCCTCACTTCTAAAAGTACTAAACACAAATGTTTTTTTCCAACAGGTTAATACCTAAAGTTGTTGTTGTTTGTCTTCTGGGTGTTCATCTGCATCAGCTTGTTGAATCCGATAGCATTCAGGATGACTACCCAAATAAATACAAGTAAAATTAAAATATAAAAATGGATTTTTAAATTAAAAAAACATGTCTTGTTGAGATATTAAAGATGTTTCCCTTGCTGCTCATAGAAATGTTTTGGATTCAAGCCAGCATGAGTATTCTGGACAGGCAGAATGTGCATATGTCTTAAATAAATATTTATGCAATGTATCTCTCTGTGTGCTCCTTATTTATGTACTTCGTTGTTGGCAGGATAATGTCATTTTTGAAAGACTGTCCAAAGATTCCCTATACATGGAGCCAACACTATGTCATCTGGAATATTTTGCTACTGAAGGTAAACATTCACTGTAATCGTATTGGATAAAAATGCGTGGACCAGAACAGACTTGTATACAATGTCATATCAATGCATGTGTCAGTGGTGGGCCTCTTGTGATGCTTCAGGTGTCCTTGAAGTGCAGTCAGCATAGCCAATGTTCAAGGAATGTGCGGATTGCAGTCCAATAACAGCTAGAAAGCTACATATTGATTCTGTTCTAAACATCTGCATGAAACAAGATGGGAAGAGGAGTTTGACAGGACTCCATCACACTCGAGCTTAAAGGGTAAGCAAAGAGTATGCATCCCACTTGAAATCCTGTAGCTGCCTCCTGCAGAAATCTAGGGTTTGCAGTTTAGTGAGTCCCAGGACCTCTCTGGCTGAGCATTTTAAAGACCCCTACCTAAACAACAAACCCCAGAATTCTGCAGGAGACAGCCACTGGGTTTCAAGTAGGATGCATACTTTTTACCTACTCTTTAAGCTCTAATGCCGTGGTTCCCAACCTTTGCCCCTCCAAGTGTTTTAGACTTCAACTCCCAGAAATCTCAATCATTTTATCAGGTGTAAGGAATTGTGGGAGCTGAATTCTAAAACATCTGGAGGAGCAAAGGTTGAGAACCACTTCTCTAGTGTGATGAGGAGTAAAATTGACATATGAGATGAAGATGGATTCGTGGTATGTAGGAATATCCTTGCCCAGAGGGCATGGAGGCAGTTTGCTATAGTCCAGGTATGGGCAAACTTCTGTCCTCCAGGTGTCTTGGATGTTAACTCCCGCAATTCCTAACAGCCGGTCGGCTGTTAGGAATTGTGGGAGTTGAAGTCCAAAACACCTGGAGATCACAGGTGTGTCTGAGATCACAGGTGTGTAGTGTTGCAAAAGCATTGGGACTAGACATGGGTGTGGGACAACAGAAATATGTGTGCTCCTAAAAAAACAGTTTTGCCACTCATACAATTTTACCTTCTAATCGGTCACTAAAAAGAGAAGCGTTAGAACAAAATCCAAAGTATAATGCTCAAGACAGCAATTGAATATGCCTTAGTGATAATAACACAGGTCTGAATTATCAACTTGTTTGAGCTTGGACCTCCAGAACTATAACTCCAGAATCCCACTGCCATTATTGCCAGTGACTAGCTGTAGTAAAAAAATTAACATTTCAAAGTTCTGGGGTGTTTTTTTTTGGGGGGGGGAGGAGGACTATGAAACAGATGATTGCATATAAACAAATCCATTAGAAGTGACATAGGCACTTCAAATCCATTAGAAGTGCCTTGCAGCATTTGACTGATGTCAACACTCTTGATAAATATAATTCAGGGCGCAGAGGAAAGCAGCAATGGTTTGTGAATGTGGTAAATGGGGAATACAATAGAGAGGACAAGAAAAGGTGAAACGTATGGTAGCAATATTGTAAAAGTAACTGTATCCTACAGCCGACACCCCCATTGGGTTTCCTTTATTCAGAACCTGATTTTGGTGTATGAAATCAAATAGTCCAATCTCGTATTTCATTGGTAATGAGGACATTGTGAAGGTAGAGCAATCTGAGGAGTGGACAATGCTCCTTTTATATTGCAATTTTTATGATACCATATTGCAGGAAGAACCTTATTTCTTCCCATGCTTGAAAATCTCCCCTCACATGCACACACACACATAAAACACTTTGTTCTAAGAACTCCCACATCCTGAATAATATAGTCTTTCTCTTTTATATGACATTCTCTCTCCCTTCTTTCCGGTTGACTTGTACCAGAAGAGAAATCATTACTTTTAATATATGCTGAGATCTGTCAATGGTCCTGTAAAATCATGTTTTTTGCATTCCAAAGGGAGCTGTTCCTTGGGTTATTGTGCATGGTTAACTCGTGTAAACATCCTCACAAATTACATGTGTGTCCTTTAAACAGAAACATCAAGCGCTGAACTATTTGCTGTTGAACATGCTCCTACCTCATGTCATGGTTCTGTGACTTACAATTTAACATTAAAGTATGTTGTGGTCAAATAAGTAATTCATTTTAAACCTGAACACTCTATAGAGGCATTCGAAGTTCCTGCTCCAGGGGACCTTTCATAATTCCTAATTATAGCACTATAGTTCCACTTCTAATTGCCATGACTTCATCTTATGAAATCATAGGGTTTGAGTTTGGTAAGACTCTAGAAACTTCTGGTTGAGAATATTAAATATTTCCCTCAACTGCATTCAATAGGATGGTGTCATAGCAGTTAAAATGGAATCATACTGCAATATTAACTGCACATGGGTTGCAAGTTTAGTGGAATAAGAATGGGAGCAATTGTAGCAATATTGGTTCTACCTTCCAAGACAATGATATACAAAACCATTTTTCTCAGTCCAGTTCTGTTAGGTTTCCTGAAACCCATAGGTTACTCTATTTTTCCAAGGTCATCTTTTGCACTCAGTTGCAGTAATTTGTCCTCACTGAACTACACAAAGGGAAAAAAGAGTGTGAGATTACTGGATCAATGCTTAGACCTAAAATATCAAGTGCTGAGCTGCTGAACTTGCCGACCAAATGATCGACAGTTTGAATTCGAGGAACGGGTTGGCAGAAGCTATTAGCCCCAGCTTTTGCCAACCTAGCAGTTTGAAAACATGCAAATGTGATTAGATCAATAGGTACCGCTTTGGTGGGAAGGTAACAGTGCTCCATTCAGTCATGACCTTGGAGGTGTCTACGGACAACACCAGCTCTTCAGCTTGGAAATGGAGATGAGCATCACTCCCCAGAGTCAGACATGACTAGACTTAATGTCAAGGGGAAACCTTTACATTTACTTTATTTTTTCATATGCCTATGTTGGAATCCAACACTAGGTAAAACTATAATCCAGTAATTTAATAGACAGGAAGAAGAAGGCACTCCACCAATTGCAAATTGATGAACTTACAGTACAATCAATGATAGCATTTGCTCATAATGGTATACAATTGTATACAATTTGTACTTCAGTGCTGTCCTTCCCCGATTCATGATTAACCCAAGTCCCATTAATTTCAGTAGGTATCCTTTAAATGTGAAATGTGGCAAATAAGATAAGCACCTTTCATGAATGTGAGGGGAACCCCAGCTAAAAAGCTAGCTTTTATTGACTACAGTGTCCAGAATCCACCAGTCAGTATGTCCACTGCCCATGCTGGCTCTTTGAAATAAATTCCCCAAACTCTTTCACAGCCATGGAAGTCGGTAAGATTTCCATCTCTTTAGTTGCCGGGTTTCCTTTATTTATTAGATAATATAGTCTCAAAACCACATATACATTTTTATTTTAAAGTTGAAGTTCCAGGCTGGCAGTATAACAATTTGTCTCCTAAGTCCATTCACTTAATAGCTGTTTTTACATAAACGTATGATAAGGTTTACATGTTTAGATGTCCATTATTGGCTTTCCCTTTTTAGGTTTGAGAACTTTGTGCATTGCATATGCAGACCTATCTGAAAATGCTTATCAGGATTGGTTGAACGTATATAATGAAGCCAGCACAAACCTGAAAGACAGAGCACAAAAACTGGAGGAGTGCTATGAAATCATTGAGAAGGTAACTAACTACAAGACGAGGCTTCGGTCTGCTTATAGATTAATTCTTTACAAGTTGATTTTGCTGGTAAGGAAAATCGCTTTGAGTCGCCCAAGGGCTGAGAAAAGTGGTATATAAATGAAGTAAATAATAGAATTCAGAGACACAGCTATGTTAGTCTGGTAAAAAGAGATATTGTAGCAACTTTAAAGTAACTGAGAGAAAGAAGTTTGCAATGTAAGCTTTCATAGACTTTACTCCATGCAGGTAATGACTTTATGAACAAAAGCTTATGCCATCAACTTTGTTCTCTCAGTTGACCAAGGAATCATTCTGAAGGACAACCTAAAATGCCTGCAGAGTACATGGTTTATCATTTGCATTTGCATCTGAGGAGATGTCAGTAAATACATAAATCCACAAATAATTAAATCTGTGAATGCTTAACATGCAAATGTGGAGGGACATCTGTAATTGTGTTTCCATCCTTGCCCTACTTCAAATTAAAGTGCTTGGTACTTCTATGCATTACAAAATGTGTCATTTTCTTGTGAGAGAAACAGTAAACATTAACTGTACACTGTGCATTAGGCTTGTGCATTTTGGCTAAACCTCGATCCATTTCTGCTGGCTGGATTCCAGAAGACCACTGTATCAGTTTTTGCATGCCTTCCAAAAACGGGCAGGTAACCGGATAGACATTTTTGGTCCGCAGATGAAAAATGCAGCTAGATCCAGCCCATTGGCAGCAGTGGAGAACTTATGAGGCTCTTCTTTTCCTTCCTAGGATCCTTTCCTTTTTTTCCCTTCAAGGGAGCCTGGGTTTCAGCAATGAGATTAAGGAAGCAGACTCAGCTTGCGTAAAACATATCATGGCATTCTTCTATTCAAATTGGCCCCACAGGCAGGACTCACAGGGAAGCCCTGTGCGAGGAGCATGCGCAGCCTCTCTGCACACCGTTTGCTCCCAAAAAGTGGAGAAGGAGCTGTGATGAGATGCCACATGGTCCTACTATGGATGGGAAACCGTGACAGCTGGGTCCTTGCCATTATGGCTATCCAGCCAAGCCGTAGAAGCCAGGTTGGCCAAAGAAAATAGCGAAAATGGATCCGCGCACAAGCCTACTGTGCATCTATTGCCAGAAAATAGCAAAAAGGATAAGATATAGCTTTCTGTCATTGGTTTTATATGACTTAGGGCTATACTGTCTGAAAGATTATTTCTCCTCACATGCATCTGCCTGAGTTTTAAGATCCTCAGGGGAAAACTTTCTCTTTGTCCCACTATTATTACAGGTATTTGCGGTGAGGTCATGTTGGTGGATCTCCTTGGTAGCTGCTCCCAAATTGTGGAACTCCTTTCTTCTGGAGACTAGATTAGGTCTCCTTTTTTCCTACCAGCAACTATGTTTTTATTTAGACAGGCCTTCGGGTGTTTACTGTTTTTTGCAGTAAACAGGAAAAATGGGGATTTTAAATGGGGATTCTGTACTATTTCATAGTTATATTTTATATACACTATTTTTAATCCATTTTAAATTGGTTCATCATCTCCCAACTTTTCCCAAGTTTTGGATTCAAGGAACAGTTACAACAGTTGGCACAAACATAGAATCCATAATATTAAAAAGCAATCAAACTACCAAAAATGAAAAACCAATTAAAAGCATATACCATTAAAGAACAAGAAATAAAAGTCCAACACCTCTTTCCTTAAAATTCAGTTTGAAAGGACTGTTAAAATAAAATTAAATGAATATAAAATATAAATGCAGTGTCATTCTTGGTATAAACCAAGGCAATAGCAGCATAAAGAGAAGTCAGTTTCTCAGTCCTCTCTTTCTTTTACTTCTGCTGTTTTCAGGATTTACTCCTTCTTGGTGCCACAGCTATTGAGGATCGCCTTCAAGCAGGTGTCCCAGAAACAATATCAACTCTAATGAAAGCAGAAATCAAGATTTGGGTACTAACAGGGGACAAGCAAGAAACCGCTCTCAACATAGGTAAAGATCTTCTTTACGTTTCCAACAAGGCTGCCTTGGAAGAGTAAAAACCTATTAAGGTGATAGAATTTGAAGGAACTCAGCAATATGTTTGCTTTGCTTCTACCTTACTTGTTTATTTAGTGTATACTAGCCATCCCCTGCCACACATTGCTGTGGCCCAGTCTATGTATATGTGCTTTGTGTGTGAATATATGTGTATGTATGTATATATGTAGTTTTACAAATGTGTTGTAATGTATTTTTTATTTTTTGGCCTTTTAAGTCTCTTCCACTGTGCTTTTCAGTGTTTTATGAGTGATGGTCACTTGTTGGCCTGATAGGTGTATTGTGTCCAAATTTGGTGTCAATTCGTCCAGTGATTATTGAATTATTTTAAACCCACAAACGAACATTACATTTTTATTTATATAGATTCTGGCTCTTTCCTAATATGGTCCAAATGAGTTAAATTCAATTAATGTGTTTTAAGTGATTCTGAACGTATCTCCTCGTATGAACCACCTAGGAGACTGTTCTTGGGCCAGCACCTGCACAAACACATCTGGTGGGAATGAGGGACAGGGCCTTTTCAGTGGTGGCCCCTTGGCTGTAGAACTCCCTCCCCAGTGATATTAGAGCAGCTCCCTCCCTCTTGGACTTCAGAAGGAAAGTGAAAACCTTGTTCTGGGGTCAAGCTTTTGAAGATTAACTACAGTGCAAAAAATAACTACGAAATACGTGCTATGTTTTTTGGAATGATCCCAGATTATGATTGTGGATGGCATGATTTTAATAGAGATTATAATGTTCAAATGTTTTAATGTGTGTTTTAACTCTGATCTTTAAGTTTTCAATTTTAACTTAAATGTATTTAATTGTTTGTTCTCTAAAGGCATCAAAGAGTTGCCATTTGTAAAGCCACCTTGAGTCCCCTTTGGAAAAGTGGGATATAAATAAATAAATAAATAAATAAATAATCTATTGTAGACTCCAAACTCTAAATCCTGGGTTTTATAAGTAAAGGAAAATGTGAGCAAACTGAAGGGCTGGAATTGATAACCATAAGAGCTGGTGTTTTAGTGCATAGATTATAAAGGAAACCCAATTCATAGTTTTTGAAGGAGAGGCATGTGCAATTGAGATGCTGAATTAGTACACTCCAACTCACTGCAGGTGGGGGAATGCTTGAAAATAAGGCAACACTTGGAAATACGTAACTTGAATTTTAGTGTATCAAAATGTTCAGCTGTCTTACAAGCATAAAGTTGAGACTGGATTCCTAGGGGCATCTAAACATCTAGTTCAAAATATCCCCAGTTCAGGAGTCAAATAGGTGAAGTATCCTTAAGACAGCATCTAAAGCAGAGGTGGCACATTTTTACCCCTGCATCTTGTGATAGATCACCCTGGCATTCCTAATAATTATTTTTATTGTTCATGTGAGGAGCAACTTGAGAAACTGCAAGTGTAAGAGAATTAGCTATCCGTAAGGATGTTGCCCAGGGGATGCCTGGATGTTTGATGTTTTACCATCCTTGTGGGAGGCTTCTCTCATGTCCCCACATGAGGAGCTGGAGCTGACAGAGGGAATTCAACCCACTCTCCCCAGATTTGAACCACTGACCTGTCGGTCAGCAGTTCTGCCGGCACAAGGATTTAACCCATTGCACCACTGGGGGCATTCTTAATGCAATCAGGGAAATTGCTGTATCCCCTATGGTTTTGATATCAGCTGAATCACACCCATTTTACCTTGGGGAGAGTTTCTGATATATGGGAAAACTGAGAATGAGGGACAAGGCTGCTGAGCTTTTCAGAATTTTGAGATATTGGTTAGAGATGGGGTGAAAAATCACTTGGATTTTTTTACAAATACAAGGAGCTTGGAAAGACTTCAAGGGCCATAATATGAAGCCTGAAGGGCTGAGTGCTCACCCCCGATCTAAAGGATTACAGATGTCACCCAATTTATGTTTAAACAACTCCAAGGATGCAAAGCCCCACACTTTCTGAGATAGTCTTGTCCGCTATAGAACATGTCATTGTGCAAGGAAATTAACCATGTGCAGTCAGGTTTGTTGTTGTGTGCCTTTAAGTCAGTGGTTCTCAACGTGGAGTCCCCAGATGTTTTTGGCCTACAACTCCCAGAAATCCTAGCCAGTTTTTACCAGCTGTTAGGATTTCTGGGAGATGAAGGCTAAAAACATCTGGGGGACCCCAGGTTGAGAACCACTGCTTTAAGTAGTTTTTGACATATGGCAACTCACTCACAGGGATTTCTGGATTGAGAGTGTGCAACCTAGTGGGTTTCCATGGCTGAGCAGAAAGAATGACATTTCCAAGGTCTCCCACTAGGTTTCATGGCTGAGAGGGAAATCAGGCACTGATCTCTACAGTTATAGTTCAGTATTCAATCCATTAAAGTCAAAGCACAATGATATATCATGCACAACGTGCATATGCCCAGTCATGGCGCCACATACATAATTCCACTTTTAAAACTTTTAGGTGAATGTGGATGTAATATGTCAGCCAAAAATATAGCTTTGTGCATAAAGGGACTTGTACAAGACGCCAACAGAATGACAGTAAATGAGTTATCAGGAATGGTAGCCAATGGTTGTCTAAAGCGCATTATACAGAATTCCTAAAATACTTATTCTGAATGGCCTAAGAAAGACCATAGCAGTCAATCATCAAGAACTCCAGTGGCCTCTAATTGTCAAGCCCTGCTACAGCTTTTCACAGACTGCAACTCACTCTCAACACCTCTCTCTGCGCTGCTTATTTCCACATATTTTAATCAAACAGCAGAATGATCCCTTCAAGTTTTAATATCCATTACTCCTTTAAACGTTGCTTTTGCACTAAGGCTCCTGATTCTTTGTGACCTTCAAGACAGTCTGTATTAAGGACTTGTCTGGCTGCACTATTAGTTAATTTAATTTAACACAGGCTTTTAATGCCAAAGCTGTGGTTTTCTTAGAGTTCATTTGGATTATGCTTAGTGTAGTCTACCACTCCCAGTAATGCTCTTTTATTTATAGTTAAAAGTGACTTCTCCTACTTGGAAGTAACATTTCAAATCAAGCCTCAATAAATCATATGTACTTTCCTTACTTAAACTAGTTGAGAAAACTGTAAATGTATTGTATTGTTGAAGGATTTCATGGCCGGAATCACTGGGTTGTTGTAGGTCATTGGAGAAAAGGTGGGGTGTAAATATAAATACTGCAAAGGGCTGGTTTCCATTTGATCTTATGAGCTCACAGTGTCAACCTGATTATTATTTGGCCAAGGAATGCCAGGTTCTGTACACTCTATTTCAAAGGAAGGAGATGGCAAACCAACTCTGGGTTCCCTTTCCCTTATGAGAACACCTTCAACCAATAGGTTGCTGGAAGCTGTGAACTCACACACCAAAAAATAAAAAAAATTAAAAAATGGAAAATTACAATAAATAAGGAAATGAATTTGTATCAGAGTTTGGAATAGTTACTTTCTTGGAAACTGATTCTGAAATCCTCAAGACAGTGGACATTTCAGTCCAAAAAAATGAACTTTAAAAATATATAATCCAGAACCACCCCTGAAACTCCTTGCAAGATGTGGAGTCTCCCAATTTGTTAACCACTAAAGAATCATGTAAAACTTTGGTTTTTGTTCAAAACTCCATCCAGCAGTTCCAGTTGTCAAATAATGTCTTGCTTGATTTGAAAGATGTAAAATAAAACAGCAAGCAGCGATTTAGAAATTACTGTTCACTGTTGCAGCTGTTATTCCAATCAAAAACTACCAGAAAATCTCTTTGAATTAGTTATACCAAATTTGTAACAGTTTAGGGCTGCCGGTCCCTGGGGAAAGGCTATGCTGCTATTGAGAGGAGTGACTGAAGTTGTAAGACACACAACAGTTCTGCCACTTTGTTTTTCAGTGAAACTTTAATAAAGTAGTGCAGTACATGCTGAAGTTTATGTATACATTCCAAGCATTGAGAAATAATTCATCACATTTAACATCTCTTTTACCTAGCGATGTTTGGAATCGGTCTAATTTTTTTCTTTTGGCCTTTGTTTTTGTTCCATGCCAGTTTAAATGATATATTTTAAGCCAGTTTTCCCCCTCAAGTTTTCCTTAGAAGATCTTTGTATTTCTCAGTAACTTAAAATAAACTACATCCTCTCCATTGTTTGTTTCTTTGTGAGTATCTCTCTAGAGGGAGAAGGAAAAACCACAAGCCTACATTGTGGTTTATGTTTTTCTTTGGTTGCAATTTTGCTAAATTATTATATGTAATAATTTATAATTGTATTGTTTTATTATATTGATTTTTTTTCCGTGTCAGGAGCAACTTGAGAAACTGCAAGTCACTTATGGTGTGAGAGAACTGGCCGTCTGGAAGGACGTTACCCAGGGGATGCCCAGATGTTTTTGATGTTTTATCATATTTGTGGGAGGCTTCTCTCGTGTCCCCGCATGAGGAGCTGGAGCTGATAGAGGGAGCTCATCCGTGCTCTCCCCGGATTTGAACCTGCAACCTGTCGGTCTTCAGTCCTTTAACCCACTGTGCCACCTGGGGGCTCCATTATATTTGTTATATTGGTGTTACTGTTGTTATTGCAAGGATATTTCAGTCTGTGATGTAGCATCATCCTTGTTCCTACATCAAATTGTATAGTACCCAGAACCAGTCAGATTATTTTGGCACCTGAAGAAGAAAACATCAGAAACAAAGGGTTTTGTAAAACAACTTCCTAATCATAAAAAGAATACCAATAACAAAATTACTGGCTTTTCATGATACCCCAAATTTAAACCAAAAGGGAATCAGACACCTCATTCTACCAGAAGTTAGCATTGGCTTTGTGTACTCCTTACTTATAGGCACAGAATGTGCTACAAAAGTATATTGGGTGTTTTAGATGAACAATCAGTTGATTGGTTATGGTGTTTCATAATATTTATTTGCAAATATATAAATAGAGAGTAAAGGCACCTTAACGTGAGGGATTCCTTCTCTATGATCCCTCACAGAGTTGGTTCCAAAAGCCTTTGGGTCCCAATTGATTTTATTCAGATCCACACATATGCATGATTTCAAATTTTAAAGCATTTAAAGTTATTTTAGTTTGTCTTCTTTGAAAATTCTTCAGTTGTTTAATATGCAGCCCCCAGTGATGCAATGGGTTAAACTGTTGTGCCAGCAGGATTGCTGATCCAGAGGTTGGAGGTTCGAATCCAGGGAGTGTGGGTTGAGCTCCCTCTGTCAGCTCCAGCTCCCCATGTGAGGACATGAGAGAAGCCTCCCACAAGGATGGTAAAACATCAAACATCCGGGCATCCCCTGGGCAACGTCCTTGCAGATGGCCAATTCTTTCACACCAGAAGTGACTTGCAGTCTCTCAAATTGCTCCTGACAAGAAAAAAAGTTTAATTTGTTTTCATCCTTCTAATATTTTTTTACTATTTATATTATTTTAAATAAGTCATGTTCATATGTTGTACACTGTGCTAAGATCTTCAGAGAGAATGTGAGATTTAAATATTTAAAACATACATACAAGCCAGCAGAGTCTTCTCACTCCTTCTTCTGCCAAGCACAGAAAATAAGCTGGTTAGTTATTAGGAGATTACACACACAATTATTGTAAATTCTAGAAAGTAGTTTCAAATTGTGTGTGGTTTATTAAAGCAGATTATGTGCAAGCTTTACTTGCTAACTTGTTGTTCTTTTTGGGCAAATGGTGGTAAAACTGAGGTTAATCATAACTTTTTGTGACATGAGAACTGGAAACTATGATGGCTTCCAAAACAAGTCAGGATATATAAACCAACTTTTAATTGTGATTTTATTTTCTGGTTTGTTTAGAAGCCATTAGATTTGGTTTGGATGTGATGGGAAGTGATGGTTAGTTTCTTGGCTTATTGTGCCAGTTTTACAAAAGGAGGACTGAACTGGAAAGAAAGGGACACTGTTCTAAACATGGCCAGTTGCATGTTTCTTTGTGGCTCACTTTATCACCACTGCAAAAATATCTACCCCATACCCTAAGGTGGGTTCAGGAATGGCCAAATCCAAACCTTAATGGCTGACTCTTTCAAAATGCTGAAGATATTGGTCAGGAGATGTCAGGAGAATAGTGTATTTGTTAACAGGAATACATCTTTTGACATCAGTTGTCAGTTCTGGGCTATGAAGTATGTTGGGTTATATATATTTATTATTTTATATTAGAATTTTAGGCAAATTTATTTAAAAGTATGCCCCACAAAATACCAATCAAGAAATTAGGCTATATGGGCATTCTTCTTCAGTTTCTCTGCTTCATTCCCTGTTGATTTTGCTGCTATCTTTCTGGGCTTCTGATAAACAATGTGGCAGCTATGTGAACATTGGACTAGATAAATTTGTGACCTGATCTAGCAGAGTTGTACTTATTTCCCTATGCTATCACTATCAGCTGTTTGTAATAATTGCGAAGGAGTAATGAAATAATAGCTTTCAAAGCCTTCTTCATCACTACAGTGGCAATAATCAAGTACCTATTTATTTATTTCCACAGGTTATTCGTGCAAGCTCGTGTCACAGAGTATGTCTCTCATCCTTGTGAATGAAGATTCTTTGGATGTAAGTAAATAATGCCATTCTTCTTTTTAATCTAAGTGAGACAACTGGGTTAGAGTTACTCAAAAAGGTGCAGTGCTGTATGTCAGCCTCTTCACCCAGTGATTGTGTTTGATGTTCATGATGGGAATGGGGATGATGTTCCTGATGGTGGGCCTAGATCTGTTGGCAATAGGGACGGGGGTTCACCTGGGCCAGAAGAGAGGCCCAAGCTGTTTCTGGAAGATTCACAAGGACACATTCCTTGGAGAGGCCCGTCACAGTCTTTCTCAGAGCAACTGTCTGAAGATGATTTGTCAGGTGCAGAAGTTAATGAGAGTCAAGTTAACGAGAATGTAGATAGAAGGCAAAGTTTTTGTAAACAGAGGCAAAGTGCTCAGGCACAAAGAAGATCAGTTCATTTACAGGAAAAGAAAGATAAGAAACCTTTATCTGGTGGTAAGATCAAGAGAAATGTTTTCCTTTCGGTTCTGGGACCTGGAAAAGCCTTATATTGATTCATGGGAAAGAGTTGCCTCAGTTGGGTCAACATTGGAATTTCATGACGGTCTTGCTTTCAAGTGTTCTTAGTACCAAATTTTTGTCAAGCACCTGTTTTGTGTATTAGATTTTTCATGCTGCCTTGTTTCATGGATTGTTGTTCCAATGGATCTTATTATGTCTTGAATCTCATGACTATTTTGTTTTGGAAACTTTACTGTTTTTGCTAATTTTACTGCTTTGTCTACATATATTCTTCAATAAAGTGCTTGCTGATTTTACCAAGCTGGTGTGGTGTTTAAGATCAGAAGTGTTCCTGCTCTGGTGTACAACAAGCAGGCAATTGCCATTAAGTCCTCTAAAGTGAGTCATCTGAGGGTGAGGAGGCTTTGAACAAGCATGGTTCCCTACCTCTGTCTTTTAAACTGCTGGATTCCTTGCCATCAGTCAGCTAATTCTGGACTCTTTCTGGAGTCATCTTTATCAGCTTTTGGTCACCCAACCTCATAGAGAAACACATACATTTCAACTTTGTTACCTTTGACAGCATTGTGTATAAGGCATCTTACATTAGAGTCAGATAACCATCATGTTTATTAGGACATTTCATCTTAACACTTAACCCATTATCCATGAGAAAATATCTCATCTTTAGTCTCCAGGGATTAAGCTCCTTAAAAGTGGTTGAACAAATCTTAACTATAATAATAGCATGTTGGCATATAACTACCCTAACCTTATCATAATTAATCAGCATTGTAGGACAGCATGTCAGGGCTATGAGGAACGATCTTCCACTCTTTACTCAGACAGCATCTCTGGCAACACTTGAGACATACTAAAATATAGGCTGATTTTTGTGGCTCTGACTTTGCTCTTTTATGCTCTCCTACCACCCACACAACACACTTTCAAATCAAATTCTTAGATCTTATCATTATGTTTGATGTACTAGATATCTCTGTCTACTGCACATTTTCAGAATGCTCATCAGGTGTCATCTAATGCTCTAACTCACAGGGTTACCTCTTGACTGCCTTTGTTGTTTATGCTTACATACTTTAAGGGGGCCCAGACTTGAAGCTAAACAAGTTTTTATTTATTTTAGTTTAGTGTAAGATGGATATTGTCAAAAATTGTATGTTCTATATCAGTGGTTCTCAATCTTCCTAATGCTGCAACACCTTAATAAAGTTCCTCATGTTGTGGTGACCCCCAATCATAGCATTATTTTTTGTTGCTACTTCATAACTGTAATTTGCTACTGTTATGAATCGTAATGTACATATCTGATATGCAGGATGTATTTTCATTCACTGGACCAAATTTGGCATAAATACCCGATACACCCAAACTTGAATACTGATGTTTGATTTTGTTATTTGGGAATAGTAGTTGCTGGGATTTATAGTTCACATACTATAAATTCCATCTGAACTCCACCTATGATGGAATTGAACCAATCTTAGCACACAGAACTCCCATGACCAGGCCCGTAGCCAGGATTTTGTTTCAGGGGGACTGAGTTTGGTTCGGGGGGGGGGGGGGGAGTCTGAGTGAAAGAGGGTCTACCCTAGCAAACCTTTTGTATCGTTACCCCAATACCCCCATGCATATGGGATATATTGAGCATGTGATCAGATCATGATATGAATAAACATAACAGTTTAAATAATGTACCAGTAAGCCTTCTTGCAGACCACCATCAGAATTTCAGGGCTAGGGGCTGAAGCCCCCAAGCCCCCCCCCCCCAGGGCTACATGCCTGTCCATGACGAACAGAAAATACTAGAAGGGTTTGATAGGCATTGACCTTGAGTTTTGGAGTTGAAATTCACCTACATCCAGAGAGCACTATGGACCCAAACTATGATGGATCTCTACCAAACTTGGCACAAATACTCAATATGCCCAAATGTGAACACTGGTGGAATTGGAGAAAATAGACCTTGACATTTGGGAGTTGAAGTTTCTGGGATTTATAGTTCATCTACAGTCAAAGAGCATTCTGAACCCCAGTAATTATAGAATTGGGACAAACTTTCCACACAGAACCCCCATGCCTTGAAGGGAATTGCTGGTGTGAGCCTCCCTCCAACCTCGCACGCTCTCCCTCAGCTGCATGTGCACACCATGCTGCACACCCGCTTTCCCTGCCCCGTTTGGAGTCTCAGAAAGAGTCCTCCCCTTGGCTGAGAGGCTGGTCAATCACAGCTTGACCTGTAACAACCTTGCTGTATATTGTGTGTTGTGACATAGAGAAACAAAGGGATGGCTTGCCCAGATTTCAAAAATTGCACACTCTATAAGTATTTTATTATTTTATTCCCTTTGTAAGCTACTTTGAGTCCTGTTTATGGGAAGAGGCAGCACATAGTAGTAACAGTTGTATTACTTCTAGTACTGTTACTGCTACTATTACTACTACTACTAATAACAACATCTGAGGCTACTGTGCTTTAATGCCATTAATTCAGCAGTGGCTCCTAGCAGGAAATAAGATTGGTAGGCTACTAGTCAGAGGAGTGGCAGGAAAGTCATATTAAATCTGCCCCTTTTCTCATTTATTTCTCTGAATTTAACCTGCATTTGATTGAATGCAAACTTCTCTTTTTAGCTTCAAGAACTTAAATGCAGTCAGCATGTATCAATTAGGGAAGAAAAAGGAAATAAATGTAGTGAGATGTTGTTCAGTGCTGTAATTGATAGAGTTGGACTTTGGCCTTGGAATAAATGTTTCCTCTCGTCATAATTATCGTTCGTTCTTCCAAATTTATGCATCATCATCAATTAGGCATGGTGCTTTGCTGTACAGGCACAAAAAGAGTCTTTTATTCAAGCCTGTGGAATCAAGGAATATAACCCATTAATATTCCAAGCATATTTAGACAATAATGTCCTTTCTTTCTTTCATTGTCTTGGTGCTAATTATAGAAAGGTTAAACAGTGTTTCCCAATCTCTTACGGAGTATATGTTGGGAGGGGGGTGGGTATCTTGCCCATGGACTGTGGCACAATCAGCCATAGAATCAATTCTTAATTAAGCTGTATTAAAGAGGCATTTTGTGAAGTTCAGAACTACTTTCTGGATAAAGAAAATGGAAAAGTTGGTATTTTACAATGCCTAAGAGTAGAGACAAGGGGTTTGAAAGCTCTGTTAACACCTCAGATCAATTTTGAATTGTTTGATGGCTGTTGGCAAAGAAACTAATTTGCAGACTTGGATATTTAATTGACATGTTTGAGACACCTTGAATTAAAAAGCATAGTGCACTCTGGTAAACTGTAAGGTTTCTAGATGGGGACAGAGTTCTGCAGCGCTGGTGTTTAGGAGCACTGCAAAATGATTTACCAGTTCCCTCTTGCAAGAAAGTAAAAGTCCTGTTGCAAATCCTGCCCCATCTACACTGACCATTTAATAACGTTTAAAACCTGTATTGAAGAAAGTGGTTTCACTGTTATACAGGAAATCCTGGAGCTGGTTTGAGCCCCATATGGTGATTACACAAACCAAAGAGCACTCGTGCACATTAAGGTTTTATTTTACACACTTTTGTGGGTTGTTGTTGTTTGGTGGCCACAGTTTGAAGCTAACTTCACATGCATGAAATGGCCAGTGTAGATGTCTCAGAGTTTGTCTCCGACAGAAAGGGGATGGTCATCCTGTATTGCCCCACTTACTAGCGCCACAGAACCCCATTGCCTAGGGAAGCTGACTGGCTTTTAAGGTAAGTTTCAGGAACATTTATAATGATGGGAATGGTGCCATGATCATAAATGCAAATATGAAACACTTATGCAGGTATAACTTACAGAACACCAGCCATTATTTTTATTGCATTTTAATATCATTTATTGAATGTAAGTTGCATTTGTAAAGTTGGAAAGGATATTTGAAAATATTCAAAGATGGTTGCCAAATAACTTTCTCAATTGTTAGAAAATATTGATGAGGAGAATCCTGGATGGGTGGCAATCTTCACCATTCATTAGTGATTATGTATGTATAATGCCAATGATTTTGTTTTTTGATTTGATTTGCAGAAAAAATGAAATTTTCTATGCAAAAACTAACTTTTCTGTATAGAACATAAGTCTCTTGCACACAAAACAGCATTTTCTGTGCAAAAATATTACTTTCTATGCAGATAATACTGTTTACTGTATAGAAACTTATTTACTGTGCAGAAATACAGATTGTAGAGTTTCTGTGCAGAAAATGCTGTACTCTGTGCAAGAAATGGTGAATTTTTATAAATAGAACAAATTTGAAAGTGGTCAGCCAAATATTTCCAAATATTTGATTTTAGGATTGTATGGCCAGCTACAAACTTACTGATGTAGGTACAAGTCTGATTGTCTTAAATAGTGCTGCCTTCTATACTTAATAAAACTGGGCTATAAATGACAGATTGCATATGAATATTCCTGGTTTCTTCAGAGGTAGTGTTAGTATGGAAAATTCTAACTGATTGAAACAAATATCAGCAACTATGTTGATGCACTTGTTCTTGACTTATATGC